GACCGAGCTTGAGTTCATCGATTATCGTAGTTCTAATCATAGGTGACTATGAGTCATGTAATCTCGTATCGGTTGGCTGCAAAATATTTTATGAATTAATGCATGAGCAGGTTCGCCAGGTGTAATGAATGTACATACACTCGCCTCGAGACCCGTTCTGCGTTTAAACTCAATTTTAAGCCGCGGAAACTTGCGAAACCAAGGCGACACGGCTGCCAGCTTATGACGTCTGTGGACTTTTTCGCCTTAATCCTAGAAAATATGGCCAAGGAAGTGGACCAAGCGCAAGTTAAAAGGACACTAACTGCGCAGGTACTGGATTTCGATATCTACATGTAAATATTTTGATACGTTGCACAAACTTCGATTGTCTAATAGTTATTGAAAAAGCTAGTTTATATTGTAATTTATTAAATAGAACGTATATATTGTAATTTACTTTATTTAATATTTCTACAGCTAATGTAATATATACATACTGTAGTTATTATGTGAAATATGTTATAAATTTTATAATTGTTAATAATATATATAATTAATATATATTAGTGATATATCATTTAATATATAATTATAAAACTTTCTTATTTCTTCCACAAGATTACCTCATCCAAGAAGAAAAAACGCAAGGAAGTGATTACTATTAATATTGGATCAAGAAATGATCTAAGCACTTAAAGTTTCAAAAAAGGAAAAACTTGCTGAAAGTCCACAAGAAATTGAATTCAATTACCACAAGAATAATTCTTCTCTTTAAACTACTTCCTCATGAAGAAGATACAAAAAGGATGATTTAATGCTTTTTCTTATAACACTAAAACTTGTCAGAACTACTGCTTCTAGTAAGATTGAACCTACTGCAAATGTGCAATATCAATTGATATCACTTTTCTGTTCCTTTTCACATACCTTTTATTAAATATAAGCGAATAGTAACATCTATTTCGTGTGATATTTGACATACATCTAGTTCCATATAAGCACTTTATTGATAGTTGCCTTTGAAGCTTTTACATAACCTCGTTGTAGTGTAATTGCAAGTTTCTTTTTTCGTTTCTTTTTGCACTGAATGTTTCCGCTATGTGGTTTATCCGTTCACATTGATACATTATACATGTTTAACGAAATTGAAACGTGTACATGAAATTGCTCAAAATTGACCATGGTCATCGCTTCCAAGAACAGCGTAAGACCAATCGGAAGTACCTTTTTATATGGGGAAAAAAGCAGTGTCGAGCTCACGGTGCACCGTTGTACATGTTTATTGAGCCACCTTTGAAGAATGCCCATTTATTATGAAACAGTGATCACGTAACGTGGAAATTTATGGTTTTACAAAATATTTGAATTATATACTTCAATTTGAATATTACATAATGTTTAAAATGTTTAATAAATTTCGAAACCTTATTTTATCATTAATTGAATACACCTTTCAATACATAATGTGATATTTCGAAATAATATTGTATTATATAGATATATTTATTGTCTAAAATTTTATCTAGACTTTGTTACATCTACATATGTATGTCAGGAAAATTTAATTTTAATTGTAATACTACTACTTCGTTTGAGCACATAAAATAACGGAAGACGATCCAAATAATGAAATACAGAATATTTAATTAATTAATATAAATAATTTGCAAGTTAATTAAAAAAAAAAAAAATAATTACATAATTCAATTTAATTTTTATTTTTTTTGAGAATCCAATATTTATTAAATGACAATAAACAAAGACGAAAAATAATTATGAATGACAGTGATCATTGTAGTTTCTTTCAATTCCAATTAGATTCGAATTCAAATTCAAATTCAAACACTTAAGTCTTTTACACTATTTGTAATGTCATACTATTTATAATAGATTTAATGTTATATATCTTTAAATATAATATTTTTAAATAATTTATTATGATTTTGCACTATTTATAATATTAATATTTTATAAACGAATTATCCTTAATATTATTTTTTTTTAGCATTTTATTCGAAATACCTGTGTAATTGATTATCAAAGTTTCGTAATATGAATCGAGGTAGCCCTAGCATAATGTGACTTTCTTTACGTGAGAATATTCATGGATTGCATAGGAAAGAACGAGACAATAAACGAAGAACGATTCATTCATGAAATCTTGCGACACGCTCGATTACATAATGGTGTCCGGAACGAATGGTTCGCATAGGTAAACTCGTTGCACAGTAGCTTGTGTACCAGTGGTCCCACTAATGACATAGTTGATTGTGGAATTATTACGAATACCAGACTAGAATGATGTAACAATTCGAGAAATTAACTGTGACGAATTCATTTGCTGCAATGTTTACCGAGGAAACAAAAAATGGCAGACTAAAATAGAAACCGGATTTTTTAACGAATTATAATCGAAAGTGTAAATCTCGTTAGCCTGTCCAAAAAGTATATTGAACTTCTAAGAATAAGATGATTGAAAATGGTAAACATATAAAATTAATTTTCTATATTAATCTAATAAGTACAAGCTACTAGCGCCACTGTGGCGCTATTACGCACTGCGTTACTTGATTCTGTTTTTACCAATATTTACAATTCTCAGATTTTTATATTCTTCCTTTTTGAAGCAAAATTTTTGGTATCAAAAAGTTTCGCACTATGAAAGTGTCGAAATTGTTAAACAATTGAATAAAAAATTTCTTAAAATGTAAAGAATTAATTAATTTAAAAAATTTGTAAAATAAATGTTTTTCGAAATACCTATCAAAGAATTATAGTTTATTATAAAGTTTATCATAAAAAAAAGTAAAGTTGTAGAAACGAGTATATGTCAGCAATCGCTTTTTTAAAATATAAATATTTGTTAATTATTAGTGATTATGATTGTTTATTATGTTAAATTTACTAACATAAAACAAGCATAAAATTTAGTAATTTAGAAATATAGATTTAACACATAATATAAGACACATAATGACTTTATGTAAATTTATTGCGATTAATTAGTTATAAATTTCTAGAAAATAATTGTATGTACTAAATGAATATAAATGTATTAAATTGAAGTATGATAAAATATTAATTTCCTTATATTATTAATATATTATTAATATTAATTTTCTTTGGTTATAATTATTTAGTTCATTGTTTTAGTTTAAAAAATTCTTGCTGATTGTAATATTTTTTATCATACACTATCCTATAACAAATTTCTATTTTCTTTGAATTCAGTTATAAGTGAATTGCAATTGAATTATGCTATTAGTTATTCAAATCTCCTGCTTTTTACCTTAAATTTTTATTGTTATCTTTACTTTACATGTTACGATGTTAATTTACGTAATTTTATTCAATGAAGAAAAAATGAAAAAATGAAACTGAAATGATATAAAAAAGAAATATTTAAAAAAAGAATAATTAAGATAATTTTTTGAGTTTAGTTTTTCATTATATGGAGTGATGAAATCGAGAGTTCTAATTGAACGCCATTGCTCACACTACCACGAAATCACGTTGCTTAAACTTCCAATGCGTTGAATGTGGAGACAAAATGACAAATGATCTGTTGCTGTAATTCTGCTGTCCTTATATAGCCAGCATTCGCCATCTTGACGAGAGTACACGAAAGTTCACGATATGTATCGAAGATGGTAAACAATGTATATTATTAAAGTTTACAATTTATTGGTTTCTTTATTCTCATTGCAGATTTATACTCTAGACTATTTATTATATTAATAATTAATTTTCACATTAATCTTCAATTTGTACATTTCTCGTAAACCAGAGGTATAATTAACTACAGTTATCACTCACGAATTTTCTGGAATAATATGTTCTCACTTCAAACCAACTTTATAATTTCAGAGTTATAATTAGTTCTAATTCCAGTCACTATTAATGCCACAGTCGTATTCCATACAGAATCGGTTATGTCGGAAATGACATTAAAATGATAAAAGGATTCTGAAGCCCTCATGAGAAGAAATACATTGAGTAGCAAATTCATAGATTACCCAACGCAATATGGAAACAAAAATATAATAAAAAAGGAAGATTTTTTTACATTTTTTGCTACTATTTTTAGCAACCGGATGAAATGTAACGCTAAAAATCGCTGTTCTAAATTTTAGAAGTTGTTGCAACACATCTATTTTTTTGCGCAATCGATAGTTTAAAACAAAGAGCATAATGTTCCATAGTATGATAAGTTTACCCTATACATTGTCTATGATGATAAATCTATCTATCAAACTTACAATTTCATCTAATATGACGTTTTGTCATACGAATGAAATGGTAATGTATTCACAAATATTATTGAAACGAATATTCAATTATAATTATAAAATAGCCAAAAAGTATATAAAAATATTATTTCACAAATTAAAGTTCCGTAAAATTAAAAATTCGTAGCGTAAAAATTAAAAAAGAAAAAATTATCAGAAAAAGAAGAAATAATCCATTATTCCAATACATAACAACACTATAAGAATTTCAATTGCCTTCTCACTTTTGTCCTAAATGTACAATGTTAAATAATTCATAATTAATAATGAAATAAATGAAATTAATAACTATAATAATATTACTTTTTAATAAAAGATTATATTGCTAAAGGTTTGCTGGGACTATAGTACAGAAACATTTGTATTACCAATAATGAAGAAAATATAAAACTATGACCATAGGCAAAGTATAACATAGATTTAATGATTCAACATAGTAACTGTAACAAGATTATTTTCTTAACATAAGATTATATTAAAGTATCCTTATTCTATTGAAATGAAATTACACTAATTAAAATAAAATAAGAACTTTAAAAGTGTAAATTTCCTTTGATGGATTAACAATAAATACAAATATAAATATATCATAGGTGGCGCAAGGAAATCCATAGAATTTTAAATCTATGTTATCTCTATATTACAGTACTACCAAACGTTTTCTTTCGAACACTCGGTAAACGGTTAGAAGAAAGTTTATATTAAATAATATCTGAAATTTAATTAATGATGTCAAACTTACGACAAGAATATAAGAAAAAAACAACTGGTTTTGGAAATATAGCTGAAAATCGATTTATTCGAGCAAAAAAATATGAGGAATCGCGAAAACAACAACGAAGTGAGAAATTTAATACAAATAGAAACATATCAACTGATTTAGCAGAAACACAAAACAAAGGTTTGTGTTAAACATTGTTTATACTTGATAGATTATTATACACTCTATTATTATTTATAATACGTTTGTAATTTAATTTCAGAAATACAATTAGATTCTTTGGCGAAAGATCGAATGACTAGATTAATGAAATGGAAAGCCGAACGAGAAAAGCGGAAGAAGATTGAACAAAGTAAGAAAAAACCAGCTTTTATTGTGGGAACAGTGCATCACAAAATATATTCGCCACCTAAAGAAGATACAAGTATAAAAATGGTTAAAAAGTCTGAACCAGTTCCAAAAAGAATTACAAAATTGACAGAAAAGAGATTAATAAATAAAGCACTTGCAAAGAAAACAAATGCAAAAACTATAATTAAAAATCCGAACAGTATAACAAAAGTGCAACAGACACAAAAGATAGATGAACCATCTTCCATTCCTAAAATTGCCACAGAATTACCATGTAAACCCATATTTGGCAGAGTAGTTTTGCAAAATATGTCACCTGCTAAAATGAATGCAATTTCAAGAAAATCAAATTTGAATAATAAAAGTAACAATACAATATTTGATATAAAAAATGATGTACCAATAATTGATTCAAAATGTGATAATTGTGATATAAAAGACAGTTCTGTAGAATCTATATCATTAAAGTTATCACTTGATAACAAAGAATCACTTCATTCTTTAAATAGCAATAGTAGTGATAGTAAAGATCTAACCAGTAACATTGAAATACGTAATGATAGCCTCATAGAAGCAGTTCCTTCAAATAATAATATATCTATACCAATAGAATCAAGTATTCCACATGAACCAGTTTTCTTTTCACCTTATATTGTTAGTAGTCGAGGAAAAAGCAATGCTAGAAAAGAACAGCAGTTAAAACGTGGGTTTAGTCTTAGTCGTTCATCAAACGATGATATTCCAACAAAAGATACCGTCATGAAAACATTAAATATATCAGTTGAAGAAGAGGAACGTACAGCACAATATTTCCAATTTCTTTTGAACAGAGAGAGAGATAGATTAAATGACTTATGTGAAAAATGGGTGCAGATTAAGACAGACCCTGAAACTACAGAGGATGGATTATATATAATAAATCAAGCCATAGGTCAAACCAAATTGTTAATAAGCAAAAAGTTTGAAAGATTTCGTGGATTAGTTGCTGATTGTGAAACAGGAAAGGGAGAAATGTTGGTTACGTGTAAAGATTTGCAAGGATTTTGGGACATGATGTACATGGAAGTGGAAAATTGTAATTTGCGGTTTGAGAAATTGGAGAAACTTCGTTCACATGGCTGGAAAGAAGAAGAATTGTTGGTTGATGGACCAATTACTAAGAAACGGACTACCACTAAAAAGAAACTTAAATCTGCTAAACCAGGATCCATTAGATCTTTCATAGCTGAAAAGAAAAAAAATGTGACAGAAAAAATGAAAAATAATAATGATACAAATAGACCTGAATCTAATAAAAATCAAATTTTAGGCAGTAAATATCAGAAGAATGAAAACCTTAGTAGTAAAAAATACACAAGGAGATCTATGCCTATTGAATCTAGTGAAAAGAAACATGCACTTGCAAAGAGGAAAAAACTAAGTTTACTGCAACAGATACAATTATCTGAAATATCAAAGAAAACAAGTAGTCCACTAACAATAATAAAAATAAGTCAAATGTGTAAAACACCAGAGGTTCAGTTAGATGATTCAATATCTTACGTTAATTCTAATCAAACACCCAGAAAGAGTATATTGAAGCAACCAAAGAATTCAACTACTATTGAAAGTCATGTGAAGCCAGTAAATCAAGTTAATTTTGATGATGATATAATTTTAAATGAAGTACCAATAGATGAAGAAACACAAACCAAAATGGATTTAGCTGCAGCATTGTCAAGAATAGATAATTTTAATTTTAATGATCCAGACTATGTAACAATTAGGGCAGAAAAGAAACTTGTTTTCGACGATAGTTCCGACGAGAATGATGATGGTACCAATCAAAATTTAAAATTAAATAATTCTACAAATAATGATACTACAACAACATATATGCAAACACAAGCAACAACACCACTGGCAGAATCAGACAAAAAGCTTAATGCATTACAAAGGAGAAGCATTAAAAGACAAAATGCTGTAGATGAAGATAGTATGATAGTGAACCAAACCCGATTCTTAAGTATAAATAGTTCTACACCCTTTAAAAAAGTCAAAGGTGATACAGATTTAAATATTTCAAAACAAGAACATTTTTCTGCAAATAACAAAGAAGATACCAGCAAACAAGGTGAGAGTATGAAGATTCTGAGAAACAGAATTATTATTCCAACAGAAATACCTATGGCTAAACGAAGGTCTGTAAAGAATGTGTCTGTTAGTATGAAAAAAGGAGAACAAGTAAATACAACTCCTTGTGAGGGGACAAAAAAAGAAAGTTCTTTTAAAGTTAACATTTATAGCAGTGAACGAGTAAATGTGAACAATTCTTTTGATAATTTGCAAGAAAGTAGTAAAAAAAGGAGATTCGGTAGAAGCGTAAAATTTTTAGGTACAGATAATGTCAATGAATAAAAAAGAAATTTTTTTTCCTATCTTTATATTTAAATGAATCTATTTTATTACAGAAAAAGCAGACAGTGGATTAATAAATAAACCAACACTGCCCATGACTCCTCATGTTAGAAGAAGTAGAAAATCTTCCATTATGAAAGAAAAAAGTAATGAATTTATAGAAGATCCTATTCCTCTGGAAATACAAGAGAAGCGTAATTATCTTATTTTAATTTTTTTAAATCTGGAATTGTGCTAGATATTATAGATATATATAAAATATAATTATATTTCAGCTCCAGAACGAATCACAAGGTTTCGAAGCAGAAAATCTCTAGTCTGACATTCACGTACTGAATTCTGTTAAAATTTATATGATTGACATATACAAATTTAATGTTTGTATATTATTGACAAGAATAAGTTTTGTTTTACACAAAGCATTAATATCAAGTGATTAAAATAACTTGAAGTTTTGTTGTCTCTTTCACCTATAAAAGCTTAAAATATTAGTATAGAATATTTTCATTAGAATTGCTTTTCTTAATTGTCTAATTTCAATGTTTTATGTTTATATCTTCAATTGGCAGATTTGTGAAAAGAGATGGCTAGTACAATTTTGATCTTTTTTGATTATTTCATATTTAAGCACGTTAATAATACATTTGTATTATTGTCTTATTATATCGTATAATCTTGTTTTTCATGTAGTTATAACTGCATTGTAGAGGAAGTTAGGAAGTAATATTTGCACAGTGTTATTAAAGACATTGTTCCATATGTGAATGAAGTATGGAAATCGTGAGCACCTTTCTTTTTTTTTCATTTTATATTATCAAATATAGTACAAAGAAATCACAAAAATAAATACAGGCTGTAACAAACGCAAGTAAAACAGAATACTGTAAGTGAATGAAGTAAGAAATTATACAAGAATTAAGATATGAGGTATATCTTGCAGCAAGAGGTTATACTACGAATTAGCCAAAAAATGTTTACATATTTGTTTTTCTCGATTAAAAAACTGGGGTTAAAAATGATGCAGTCCCTCATATATATATTTATGCTTTTATGATTATATATCATTACATGTATAAATATTTGAAAAATTACTGATGTATACAACACATTTGAATGACTATAAATGAAGTATAGAATCTTATTGGATTTTGTCCCATGTTAGAAATATCGATCGTTCAAAAAATCGGAGAATTTATTTTGCTCTCTATACACTGGAGCGATATGTCTGTGATAAAAACTTTATCATATGGTAACAAAATGGCATTAAATATGTGTATTTTTCTAAAAAGTGGTTACAACAAATTGAAAGTATTGTTTTTAATAAGAATATGTAATAAACATATTTATACAATATTAAATGATTGTTTTTGAACATATATTCTATTTAATCGACAAGTAATACAAAGTTTTATTTAATTACGATTTGTTATATTCAAAAAATATAAAGTGTCAATGCAATTTGGGAAAGTTTTAAATTGGCATAGTTTATTATAATTTAAACCGATTTATACATATAACTTTTAACAAAAGCTTTTTTTGTTTACCGTATAATTTTATATCTGATCAAGATTGTTTTGTCAATAAGTATTCATCGTCACGTGGAATATTTTACTCTTTTTTCCTAACCATATCTTTCAAATAATGCGGAACTGCCATTCGATAAAGTTTGTTCTCAGAGTGCAACTGTTTAAGGAGAATGGAATAAAGAATGAAGTTTTGTTACTAGAAAAGCTAGTGAGGTCATCCGTCGAGCAAAGGTCGAATAAACAGATAAGAACACTTCCATGGTCATTCTATAATAGAATTTACGTTCTACAAATTTTCTTTGACACATTGTGTTCGTCTGATTAGTGATCAATACGTTTCTTTGTTCTGTAAGAATAATGTTAGTTTTATAGTTTTCTTTGTCACAGAATTTTAAGAGCGAATATTGCATTTTATGTAAGTGAAATTGTGTTATTTTTGAATAGTTATTTTCACTAAAAAATCTTTCCTTGAATTTAAATGTTTGAAAAAAAAAGATGTTTAATGTGATACTGTCAAAGTAATTTTGTAGTAGAAGGACAATATTACGGGTTTGATTGCAGAAGGTATTTATTTGTATTTTTGTAATGACTAAGATATTTATTATATAATTTATTGTGTACAGATTAATTTATTATTTATTAGTTAATAAATAATAATTATAATAATAATAATGAAATTTTGTCGTATTTCACAAAGTTAAATCACTATCCTTAAATGAATTAATAAAAATAATTTCGTAACCTAGCTTAAATTACTAAGCTTGTTAATTTATCATACTATTTGTCTTTCGGAATTTTAAACCGTTTCGACGAAGTGTAATGTTTAAAATATTATTTAGTTAGTATATTAAGTATTAGTATTATATAATATCGTTATTAATATTATTATATTATAATAATGTCTTTTATTATATTATAAATTTTTATAATTATAGTATTATAAGTAGACTATTTCAGGTATTGACATGATAAAAATCGCAAACATTATGATATTTATTTTATATACATTTTATGTAAAATTTATTAGCAGTGATTAAAAAGTATATTATATATAATACTGTATACAAATAATTCGTGTAGCAAATTGTATATTAATATTAATTTTATCTAGATTATTTTCAAACTTCATAAAAATAATTAAAGAGTATTAAATATATCATAAGGAAATTAGGAAAAAAGAAATTACGCGATTTTATTTGTAATTTTCAACAAAAATAATTTTTATAAATATATCATCATAATCAATATAAAATTATCGACTTGAACAGAAATTTTTACTTTTATTTTCACTTCAATATTGGTCGATAAATATTTTTAAAAACCGCTTATTCTAGAAAGTTCAATATTTTCAAATGTTTGCGATAATAATTCTACTCATGCCAGCGTTAAATGCTAGTGCTTTGACCCCGTTTGAACTCTGCGGATAACTAGTTTCATGGTTTCTAAGCTACCATACGGGAAATTGAATATATCTCACCTTACAACTTTATTTCTGGAAAATATTAGTCTATTTAGTTCCATTACAATAAACATTGATATATTTATTTATTTATTTAAAGTTTGATAAAATTCAACAATTTAATTATTTATTTTAACACAATTTTTGCTGTTAATTAATTAACATATTTCGTGAGTTCTAAATAATTGGTTATTATTACACTTCAGCTACATAATGTTATTTTTATTTTTGTTTTTAGAACGATAAGTGTAGAAATTCAATTTCCAAATAGAAAACAATTATCCAATTACAAAACACATTTTCGAAACAATGTAGCTACATACTGTTCGTTTCCTTTAATAGGAATACTATTCCTTAATTAAATTAATTAATGTTTTACATGGATCAAAGCAAAGCAGTATTTTCTGTTTCAATTAAATGTTTCAATATAAAAGAATTTTGGCTTGTAATTAGAATTATTTTCTTTCTATCTACTTGTAGTGTGCTTAATTTATTGCCAATAAATAAATTATATTTTCAACTTCTTTAATATTTTTCCAATAATAATCATTGCAGAAAATTATAAATTAAATCTAACAAGTATCTTTTATTATATATACAATTTGTAATTTGTAATTTATGAATAAATAAATTGCCGTTTGTAATTCCCCGTAAAACACTATTTATCACTAAGTTGCACTTATCCGTTGTACGTAACAATAATAACGATATCGTGTTTTAAGAAAATACACCGAGTCATTTAAATACTCAAAATTTTATCGAAAAAATACTATTTGTAAATAACCTCTCAACTACGTAATTATAATTTTACTGTTTAAAGTCATTGGGATTTAATCTCACGTCTTGTGATTCTATATAGCTATATAGCTATTTTTATAATTCATTAATTAATTAATTCTATACCCTCTTCTTTAATCACAATCTTCACCAAACTCTTTCAAGATATCTTCCTGTATTTTGGGCACACAATTCTTCAAAGCTGTTTAAACTTCTCTGTTTCAATATACACATCACATTAAACAATTCTAAAACACAGTTAGCTCAATACACTTGACAAACCGAGAACCTTCACTGAATCCACTGAAGCTATTCTGCAGCAAGTACGGCTCCATATATTCCATCCTTCTCCATTTCATTTCATACACCATACTAAAAACAACATATCAACCTCGAGACGTTAGAAACCAGCAATCATGTTTAATTCATTACGTTTGCAAACGAGCCATGCGCGAAACCAGACCGACAAATATCCCCACGCATCATCCCTTCCCTTTCCGCCGCGTGGACGGGCTCAGTGGTGGGAGGTCGGTACATCGTCCTCGTGATATCATGGTTTGTGGTGGGGGAAGTGTTTCGCACTGAAGGGAAGGAACATCAGAGATGGTCGCGGGGTTCGATAACATAGACCTGCCCGTCTAATTACTCGTATTTACTCGCAGAAGGAGAAGAGGACGGGCACGGAACAGCGTAGAACAGGAGGAGACCGGGGTAGTAGGCACGAGGAAGGTTGTCCGTGAGGAACGAGCGCAGCATGGCCTGCCCTGAAACACCGGTTAGAACGCTCACCATTTCCCTTGTCTACCTTCTGGCGCTGTTCGGTGAGTTACCAGCTTACGTTGGCCCGCCTGCTCTCATGTTTCAATCTTTCGCAATTTCCCGCGCAACGTCATCCCCGCTACTTTTAAATCGCCTCGCAGTCACATTGACGTTTGACAGTTTGCATAGTGGAGCGAAGTGTGTGATATTTTCGGTGGGTGAGAAAAGGATAAAAGTACTCGGTGTTGGTCACTTTGCGTGCCTGTGTCCAAGCGGACAACAGTCCAAGCATTTTTACCGTTCTGTATGCGTGTCTGCGAATAATCGTCCAATCATTTTTATTCTCTGAACTCGTATCAATTTTCTTCGAAGTGATTTGTTTTATTTTTCGCATTGAATTTGTTTTGCAACGTTTGATCTTTCCAGAATATATTTTTGTTGAAGGGTTGAAATTGTTTGGGCGATGGTTTAAGACAACGAATAAATAAATTATTAAAATTTTGTGGTACTTCAGAAAATATAATATATTTTTACTGATATGATAACTAAAAGACGGGTATAATTTTGACTGATTTACGAAATAAATAAATAATAATAATAAACATTCCCATGGCATACCTAAGAACTATTGTGACATATTGATTGAAAATTTTGTTTAGAAATGTATTAGTGTTTTAAGTTTAGTACTTGTAGTTGAACCGTAGTTCGAATTCTTGCACGCGATTTCCCTGGAACTGCTTTTAGAACTGGTACTAGAAGTATTGTAAAAACTGTTGAATCAATAGCAATGAAATGTTTTTACTTATTAACATAATTTTGTTTCTGTAACTTTTTACATTTTTTGAAAAAGAAACTGTTCACATATTATGTAGTATTGTGTTGTATACGTGTATATAATACATATACATTGCACACATGTATATATGTAACATATTGGGTTTGGAGGGATTAATTATTGTTCATTACTAGACAATATTAAACAGATTATAGTCATTCAGGTCTTAGATGCAATATCACTATCAGGCCTCAAAAGAACAAGTCTATTTCAATTAATCAAATTCATACTTATTTTTTTTTAATTTACTGAAAATAAATCTCGACATTTCCATATTAAGTTATTTTATTAAAATAAAAATAGCACAGCATAGTTATAAGTACATATTGGCACTAAAAAGAGTATGAAAATAATAATTACTAGTCGTACAAAGGAGGGCTAGGTCTATCTAACTATGCCGGAGGTTGCATTAGCTGTATTGCAGTGGGTTAATTTATGGTCGTTTAGAAAGATTAAATTAGAGCTTAGTAGGGCTTGTTCAATTATCTCTTCTCTGGTATCAATCTTATTTGAGTCCCAAAACGTATTATGCTTATTAAAATACATTGTATGATCAAGGTTGAGAATCACTGCTTAATAAATTATTTATTTCCAAGTCTTCAATTTTAATCATTGTTGGTTCAGTCATGCTGTCAATCTTTCTGATCTGATAATTTGGTAATTTGATATTTTGGTGTTTCCTTGTTCTTTGACAGGATTTTGTGATTATTATGTGACATCTTGTGTCAAAGAAGTTTGTTAATTTTGTTAGCGATAACGAAGATACCTTTGAAACTTTCCACGAATTATAAATATGTTCTTTCGTTACCTGTAGCCATGTTTATAATTTGACATGATAGATGTATCATCTCAGATTGTGATACAGACTTAACTACACTTAACCTTGTCACGAGTACGGCCATGCATGTATGTCTAAAAAATCTGTATTAACAATATTACATAAACAATATGATACACGTAATAAGAAGAAAATTCCAAGATTATATCAATAAAATTAAAATACACTTATTGCAGATACGAACCATGGTGGCGCTAGTGAGTTAAATGGAAAATTATCTTAAGACTGCGTTAAAACGCTTACTCGCGAGAGGGTTAAGAGCTGTGTAGAGGTGATCAGAAAATTGTCAAGAATTTCAAGATTCATTAATATTTATTGGGATATACCGAGTTCTAATCTTTGGATTATAATTTATAATTTCTATAATTTATAACTATAATTTAGAATTTCTTTTATCATAAAGTAACTACTTGCGGTGTTTCTCTTAGTAAAACATGACATGATAAAATGCTAAATTATGGAGAATAAGATTCTTCAGTGTATGCCTATATCAGTGCTTTATCGCCCTATAGTTTTTAGTCCCAATGTATCCTGTCCACTCTGTCTGTGCCACACAATGCTATATAATCCTATTTATAAATGTGACATTTCCGACTAATTATAGAAATTTGTATGACTCATCCTTATTTTCACGATTGTGTTAGAAAAAGTAGACCAATTATGCCATTACTAATCAGATCACATTTTTTTCAAACGTTCTTTTTTTACAACTTTGCAGAGTATGCCTATACTTATGCTTTCTATTGCATCTTATCCTACATCCCAGTGGTTCTCAATCTTTCCCTTGCATACCACTAATCAATATGTAACTGAGTCATATATCACTTTCTAGATATGATAGTATCTATTGCTATTACTATACCTCATTGCTCATAATTTCCCAATTTTATGTAATTTGGTTCAGTCCACCTGGGAAAGAGCGGTACGTATATCGTAGGTAGAGAACCGTTGCTATATTCCATTTATACATATGTCAATTCCAACCAATAAGAAAGATTCGTATGACCTATTTTTACAATTGTGTTAGAGAATCTAGTGGATCTGTTATACTATCGCCAATCAGACCTTTCTTCCAAGTGCACAGAAAACAGGCCTTAAGACGTCCTGCGTTTATGGTAGTCACTTAATGGTGAAATCTTGGGAAAGTCTCGGATATGTTGCAGAGATGTGTCATCCTCACAAGGAACTCTTAAGGACGAGGTCACTATCAATCTAGGCATACCTGTTTCACATATGACAGACGCAATAGCGCCAGTAATGCGAGGGTAGTCATCCTAACAGAGGCGAATAGTACAAAAACGCATTACGAGAGTGCAGTCGGGGTTTGAAGGACTTTAAGGCTCATATGGCTATCGTGAAGATAATTACACGAACCACGATTGCTGGTTTTCTGTTAGACTTATAACTTATCTATTACGTAGTCCAACTTTCCAGGTGTCCTACAAACCCGTTTTTGCGCATATTTTTAAAAAGACGTAAGAATTTTGTTTTCAATAATTTTGAATTCTATTGAGAGAGTATGCTTCTTGTATAAGCACATATAAGCACACTCTGTAAATTATAGTGTTTACGACATTGTAGAATGATCTTTACATGACACATGGTACATGGGTCCATGCACTGTCCCATTGCTTCATCGCTTTGTCCCATTTGTGACGTTTCTCTGTCGCACTCCGCTTTTGAATCCACTAGCAAGTGAATCACCCTGTACTATGGCTAATTAGACCCGCATTCCGTCAAAGGTGTTTCTTCCAATTCTGTATAGCACTTTATAGTAGTGGTAATTCTACTTATTCTATATCCAATTCATATACGGTTATCTTTACGATTATGTTAGGTAAAGTGGGCTTATTACTACATTATAGCTAATTAGACCTATTTTTATTTACACTTTCTACGTGTTAAGCTTGTTTCAAACTTTTCTGTACAGTATTTATTGTTTTGTTTTTCAAGATTGCTTGTTTTATATGCGCGTGTAAGAGACCCAATATACGTGTTTAGATATTTTAATAACATTTATGTTCTTTACACACTTACATCTGTCAAAAAAATAGGTTCTATCAGTAAAGTAATGAATATTAATTGAATTTTTATCTTTTTTGCAGGTCCCTACTGTCAAATGGCACCAGGTAAATGGATACTCTTTGTTTTAAATTTATAAGGTATTTTTACAAAGAGAAAGTTAACAAAAATAAAGAATGAGCATGAATTTGACAGTCTTTACTTTGTTAAAAGAAGAACTGATAAAAGTAAAAAGTAAATGCGATTTTTATAGTGTTTACTTTGACAAAAGAAAAATCAATAAAAATAAAGAGTAAATATAATTTTTATAATTAATAATTTTCTTTCCGTAATTTAGCGAAATTTCTTGATAAAGTGAAATTATGTAATAGAATATGCATGAAGTTATATAAAATGCAGTTGAAGATATATATATAAGTCTGGATCTATTAAATAGGAAAAAGTTCGAGCCTGTTTGACGAGATAACTGATCTTGGGTAACCTAGTCGTTGCTTAATATTCATTATTGAACTTCATTCCATTTCACATAAGCAATTTTATTTCAAAAAAAGATTACATAAATTAAGATTTGGAATACTTATCATATATTTGAATGGAGAAAAAAATGTAGTAGTAATGAAAGAATTTATTGAAGTAAAAGATTTAAACACTGGCAAAATGCAAAGTTGAGTTGTCCTTGAATGATTTGTGAAATGTTCTTTTATCTTATGAAAAGTTATCATTTAAGAAGATTATATAAATAGTAATTTTAGTATTTGTTATTAATATTAGCTTTCTTTTTATTTACTCATAAGAAATGTTTTTATTACTCACAATAATGTTACCAAAAATTAAAAGTGTTGAAGTAACTACTTTTTGAATATTAAAATTTCAAAGTTAAAATTTTGAAAATAAATAATTTATAAAACTAGTCTTTACTTCAAATACTTTTACAAATATTACATTTACAAAAGCTAAAAGTTATTAATTTAAAAGAATCTATTATTTGCAAAAATAAATCAACATAATTGAATAAATTTTGATTAAATTTTAATATTTATTAATGACTTTGAGTAGGGTTACTTTTACTTATACTTTAAAGATATATGTATATGTTTGTTTACTTTTTATTCAACCTTTTGCTACAAATGACACACTATTTGTATATATGACTTTAAATATCAAGTAATCATTTGCTAATAATATATGAGTACATATACATTTTCTGTAACATAAAATCACTTATATATGTTACTCTATAATGAATTACATATTATATATTTCAATATGTATTACATAAATACATATATCTAATCTATAAACATTTGTTTTTATATCAATAACAGCTACTTTGATCAGTACAGTAAAGCTGCTTTCAGTTTCGAGGATACCACAGCAAAAGATTAAATTCGAAGCAAATAAAACTAAAGAAAAATCATTTGAGAACAGATTAATCTAAATATTCAATAAGTCACATAAGCTACTTACATTATTTTCTTCCGAGAAACAAAAATAGTTACTATTTTCTAACCTCAATAAATTCGTTAGCGAAGAGCGTTAAGTTCCCTTTCATCCTGGATCACAAAAAAGATAAGACAGCTAGATACAAAGAAATACTTGTTTTCAGCAATTTGTTCTTAGTTTCGTTACAAGAGCAAAGATATATATTTATATAGAATTTCCGTACCTTTGTCGTGTAGCAGGGACTGAGCAAATTAACGGTGTCTATCGTTAGCCGTGTGACTGCTCGATGTTCGTGGCTGCGCGTGAATGTTGCGCACACGGTCAAACGAGCCTGCATATGCATGCGTCTCATATACGTCACGCCGCGTGCTTCGTCGCTTTTAGAAGAACGATCCAGACTGTGACGATTTTGTGTCGTTAAGTACGCCTGTACATCGGGTGACGTGGAAATACGAACTTTTAAATGAAATATGTATTAGATCGACTAATGAGTTCATTCACCTACGAACGGTGTACGCACTTCTTGTGCTGAGGTGCAATATAAGGGGATATTAAAGAAGAAATTACTGCAGTTTTAAATTGTTGAAAACAGAATTCAGTCCTCTTGCATTTAAGTAAAATGCAAATGGTGGAAAAATAATGGAAAGTTTAGATCTTAAATTCTTCAAAATTTTGGTTTGAATTTTTTAAAATTTTAATACGATAATAATTTTATTATTTTAATTATTTTATTATGCAAAGAGTTTGTAAGGTTTTAGTATAATATAATTTTAATATAATTGCATGATTTTAGGATAATTTTAATTTATTGAAACTATAGTTTTACTTAAGTTTAAACTGCTTCAAAATTTATCGAATATTTTTCACAAGAAATCGTTGAAAATCATGTAGAGAATGTAAAAGTATATAGATCCAAATTTCTTTAAACGGAAAAATGAAAAATAAATTTTATATTAAAAATAATACTTGAAGTATTTAAATAAAAAATGCAAATGACTATTATTAAGCCCAATGTAAATTATAATTGTCGAAAATGGAAAATAGAGTTTTATTATAAAAGAGTACAAAATAAAAATAGTTTGTCTATTAATGAAATATAATTTTTAACAAATGAAAACAAATAGAGATATGATCATAAACGAATTCAAAAATTTCAGTATCATAAGAATATAATTGTAGAATAAAAACTGAAATGAAGAGCAAATACAGATAAAGTATAAATAATTCAATATTTTCTTGGAATGAATGGAAAGGAATCTGCTAAACATGATTTGCAAAGGTGAAATATGATATATTTAACTGAGCAGATTGCAAGGAATGTGCTATGTATGATGTATTAAACCTGTACAGTATTAATAACATGTGAATTGATATCCATGATATTTACAATTGATTTATACGGAAAAAATTTGGATTGAAATATATTTATTATGTTTTAATAATACAGTGTTTACTATTGTATAATATATTTTTATTTTGCTCTAACCTTTTGCTATAAACATTCGTTATTAATCTTATTTAAAAGACTAATATTCTTTTATATATTTATTTCTTCTCTGTGTTTCTAATTTCATAAAATTAGATACAACCTCGCATTTCTTATGAAAGATCCAGATATAAGTATTATTAACAAAGAAACACAATTTATAAATTAGCACTTGAAACAAATAATATTATAATGTTCTAAATATTCTAGTTCCAAATAATATTCCAAATAATTATTTAATAATTGATTAATTAGTATTCTATAATATATAATAATTTAACTATATACTCTAATATTCCAAAATAACAATATATTTTTATCCCATTTTCATTGTATTTTTTAGTCACCTTGTATACTCAACCGTGTGAACATATTTATCTTTAAATATTCCTACACTAACATTTGCAAACACTTAAATGCATACATTGATGCATATTACAAATTTTCCATGTAGGAATCCATTTTTCAAATTTCCCTAATTTTAATTTTTACTTTACCACAAGGAATCAGAATTTTTTCCTATATTTTTTAGTAAGTTGTGAAAGAATATACAGTTTTAATTTTAAACCGTGATATACTTTAAACGATGAAACGATATTTAGACAGTTTTAGCCTAGTGATTAATAGCAAATATTTAAGAACTATATCTCAATAGCCAGGACAAACGAAATTCCTAATCAACTCTTCCTTTACTCCCCATTTCTCCAATACCCTCTCTACGATACCCTTTCGCTTCATAATCAAACATCCGACACACGCATGCCCACTACACGGAAACGATACTTACACACTTTCACTACACCACGCGCCAATAACATCAACGTACCCAACACAAGCGAACCGTTGTCTGGCGTGTCCCATTGGTTTATAGTCGAGCGATTCCAAAGTAACAATATTTGTCAGTCGAAGCGTGACTCCCGTCGGGTCACATTCCTAAATTGTGTTCTTGGTCCTCGATCGTTCTTCGAGACTTCGTTATTCGGGGTGGCAGAATAGGACAGATCCTCATTGCTTTTGATAGTTTGTCGATGATGTTGTGGAAGGTGTGCGTGATTGTTGCAGCCATGGCTGGGGCTACAAAAGGCTGGGACCTGGGAAGCAAGTTGAAATATAAGCTGACAACGACCTTGCTGTTTAGCGAGACGGCACCGTCGAAATCCAGCGGGGACGTTGGCTTCCGATTAACCAGCGAGTTGGACTTGAACGTCGTTTGGCAGAACCCGCAAGATCTGGATAGCTTCTTGCTTAAAATCGAGGTAGAAATCGCTGGTGTTTTCACTTAACTTGCACTGCTAATTTTTCAGTCTTTTTTCCAAGAGAGAATTTATTTTAGGTATTTTGGGTGTTTGCAAATTTTGTTTCGAATATAGGCTAAAACGTACATGTTTTCGCTTTAAAAGAATTGGGGAATTCCTGGTAAAATATAATGCGATACTCGCTGTAATATGGTCAGAGAATTAGGGAATTTTAACATAGCATTTATACCTACAGAAAATTATTACAGTTGGCCCTCTTTTAACACGAAATTTTCTTTATTTTTATTACGTTATGATTCTACTTAACACGGAAGAAATAAATTATGCTATAAGAGGGCTTATAAATATATTTTTTAAGGTTATGAAGCATAGCAACGTAGTTGATTAGTTTCTGAAAACTATTCTTATTATTCGCATTTACCCTTTGTCCTTTACAACACTACTATCTGTATTTCAAAGACAATTAATTAACAGAAATCTATTTAAACAAGTTTTATTTTCTAATTATATTCTAATTGTACTTAAAATATTGAACGTGACTCCATATTGGAATATCTGTGAATGAACTCGATGACATTGAACTCAATAAAAGAGTTCAAAAAATTAAACTTTGTAGTTCTAAATAGGTGACAAAATGATAGCACACTATATACAGTGTATTTGATTTTTAAAATAATATTTTATCATTAACAGAGATTTTCTTTGGTAATAGTGCATAAAAGTGTACTCGTTATTTTTAGTGAATTGAAATATGTTACAAAAATCGAAATTTTGAATGACTTTTATTTTTATATATATATAAAATCGCTTCTGAGATTCAGTTTTCAAAATAGTTATACAAAATGGCAACACATAGGTGGCAGCATGTGCGCAAGCTTAAGACAATGGGACCTTTTGTGTTTCGTTTCTATGAATATATAATCGATGAACGATATAATATAACAAGTGACCTCGTGGAAAAAGTATATACCCTGTAAGTCTCGATCAACTACATTGCCTTAAGAAAAATTCGAGATTCAAACACTTGCGCTACTTCCTTATTAGATATAACCTAACCTAACTAAGCATTGCTGGCTTAAGGAACCATATCCGGATCATTATCGTGGGAAATGGTTGTTCCAGGAATTCTGTATTGATTTATTTATGAAAGAAAATGATTCCATCTTTCTTTACTGAAATTGATGGAATAAATGGTGGGGGTGAAGAGGGGCCATAAAACCGGGCAAATTCCGGTCTGGAAATCCGACACTATTTTGCACATTTTCAAATAATTTTTCATTTTATCACACAGGGAAAAAATCTAGAGATACCTCTTCAACTAAAAATTTTACAAAAGCATTTTGCAAAAGATTCGATAAATTAGCGAGGAAAAATCGTACATGAATTTTTAAGGAGTTGTTGAAAAGAGGAGACTTTTCTCTACGAGTTCTCTGTGAAACGAATTACGATAAGAATTTTCTAAAATGCATACAGTGTTCGAATTTGTAAAATTATTTAGAGAAATAATTGTCTATAGTTTTCTACTTCGTATATTAAAATAAGAAGTTATTTAAAAAATTCAATTTAAAAATGCGAAAGTAGGAGAGTTACTTTTTAAAATTGGCCTAGATGGCATAATTCTAAAATATTCTTTATTGATTATTTACATTTAATCTTAATTCTCTTATACAGTATATCTTATTTATATAAATAACATTTTTATCAAGAAAGAAGCGATAAGTAGAAAGACAGAGAGAGAGAGAGAGAGAGAGAGAGAGAGAGAGAGAGAGAGAGAGAGACTGAGAGAGAGACAGAGGAGGAGGGGAAGGAGAGAAGCAGAGAGTTTGTATTACCAATGTAAAATTGAGATAACCTATTCTTGGAAGGTTAAAGCATACTATAGTTTGATAGATATTGAATGGAATATATACAGTTGGTGATGAAAATATTCGAATATCAATGTAAACTTGACTTCTGTGTTCTGTATTTTAACTAAATCTACAAGAATACGTATTATCCTATGATACATAGATTATACTCTATAGATTTTAGTTAACAAAAGTTCACAGTACAGTTAACCCTTGTATAACACGATTCATATATTGTATCAAGTTTTACATAACACGAAGATAGATAAATTTGCAACAAATTATACATAGTATCTTATCTTTCACACTAATACCTTTCAGATCAGTATCAGCGGCACTTTTCACTTGAAACACAATTTTATTTGTCGACAATCCCTTCATTTTAACTTAGTTTAGTTAACTTAGTAATTTTTATTACCTGATTAGTTTTTAATAACTATGCTTACAATCATTGTATGAGTGGCTAAAATGCTAATTATGCCAATCATAAAATGAGTCATCATTTTATTACATTTTTTGATAGACTTTTTATTTTGCCACATATCTATAGCAGTCACATATAAATTGCAAAATTATTTAATCCAAAAATATTTATAAATTTGAAAATGAAAGCAGAAAATAAAAAAGCCAATAAGAAATGAATAATTGAGCTGAATTTTTTCGAAAGAAATTAGAATTTTTTAATAAAATTGAATATAAATTTGATATCTTATAAAAGTATCAAAAATTTTGACAATAATTAGAAATAGAAATATCACTGTCATATTCAGTGCATAAGGAATGGGCCCATCGTTAACATGCTGTACATTGAACTCAAAGTTCTCCTGATTTTGACATCTGAAAAATTTCAGAATTTTTCTCTTCTCCATTTTCTTTTCCAGGTGCAACGCTCTATTTTTAATAACCCTAAACTGTTAGCTGTTATGCTGTCTTTTTTAGTGGCAACACTACCGCATAAGTGGCGCAAAATTCAAATCTTACGAGAATTTTTGGACACCCTATAGTTACTAGGGGTAGTAATAGTTACTTTAACAAAAGTAAATAAAATAAAGCTTCTTATTTATGCACATGGCTTAGGTTTAATTGAAAAAGGTAGTAATTAAAACAGGAAACTTTCATATGACTGACTTGGAACCGAAGCGTGAACCAAACGCCATGTCACGTTTCAACAAATCACCCTAACACACCCCGCTGCGTGGTACTAAAACTGACTACTAAAGTACTAAAATTGAACAAAGATAGACTATATTACAATCTCGCTCCATATTCTCACTTTCCCCTACGCTTTTATTGCGTTAACACGTTAAGTGCCCAATTCGTCTTGCTTGCAGTTCCGTTCAGGCCCAGTCACGGCCGTCAAGTGGGCCACTGGTGGCTGGCGAAGTGGAGACACCTTTGTTTATCCTGTTTTAATACACCACATTAAGTGTTTTTAAAATATTGTATTCTTTTTCTTAAACCTTGACTGAACAAAAACCGATGTCGCCTAAGTAAAATATTTAGTCTTACAATCAGTGTGCAAGGACCGACACACGTGGTCGTGTAATAGGAACCTAAAGTTTGCGGTCGGTACTTAAGGACCGGCCGAACCTGAACGAAAAGTCCCTAGGCACCGGCGTGGCACTTAACGTGTTAATTACCCACACGTAATCCGCCATTGATAAGCAATAATAAAAATAAATGAAAAGAGAGAAAACGTGTTCTACAGTTGCAGCAACCACAGCTATGGATCAAGTCTCGAAGGGCTCCAGAACCGGATGGGTTCGTCGAGCACTCATCCAGAGTGAACACGCTCGCAGAGAACCCTCTGCTGGTGCTTTGGCGAAACGGTGAGGTGCAATCGATCTTCCTAGACGCGTCGGAGAGCGTCTCTTCAGCGAATTTGAAACGTGGACTGGCCAGCCTGCTGCAGTACAGGGTGTTCGACAACGATGTCTCGGAACGAGATGCTTCCGGTCTCTGCAGCGTCACCTACCACTCCTTGGGCCCGCTAACTGTAGGGAAGACATCCTGCGAACAGACTACCCTGCCACCAAGGAAGCGACATCCAAACCCAGTGTTCGGTGTGAAGGTCTCGAGTACTCGTAACTCTACGATCGATCTCACGCAGGAGTTTCATCCTAGTTTGATTCGCGAGGAGGAGACGCATAAGATGGGACTGGTCGCCAGATCGGAAGTCGGCACTATCGTCACATCGAAGAGGACGCTAGAGCTGCTGCCTGGCACGCTCAGCGCGAAGACTGTACAAGCTGATACCGTGAAACAAGCCATTGTTGCTGTTCAGCCTGGATGCAGAGAGACGAGTATCGAACTACAATACGAGGCTCCTGCGTGTCCTGAGATTGGATGTCCGACGGTTAGTATGAAGAATTCTTTTTCTTCTTTTTTTGAGTTTATTTGGGTTTGAGTTTTCTTTATTTGATTAGGTGTTGATTAGGGTATTATATTTCAAGTAGTAAAGACGATTCTAGAATTAGGTGTTGGTTAGGGTATTATTTTTCGAGTAGTAAATATTGTTTTAAAATTAGGTGTTGGTTAGGGTATTATATTTCAAGTAGTAAAGACGATTTTAGAATTAGGTGTTGATTAGGGTATTATATTTCAAGTAGTAAAGATTGTTTTAAAATTAGGTGTTGATTAGGGTTTTATTCTTCGAGTAGTAAAGATTGTTTTAGAATTAAGAATTGATTAGGGTATTATTTTTCGAGTAGTAAAATTTATTCTAGAATTAGGTGTTGGTTAGGGTATTATTTTTCGAGTAGTAAATATTGTTTTAAAATTAGGTGTTGGTTAGGGAATTATTTTTCGAGTAGTAAAGATTGTTTTAAAATTAGGTATTGATTAGGGTATTATTTTTCGAGTAATAAAGATTGTAAAAGGTGAGAGAGTTGGGAAGTCATTATATTAGTTCGAAATAAAATTTTGTCGATTATTCCCTAAATATATTGGAAACGTAAAGAAAGAGAATTCTATATATTTTGTATTTTTAAATGTATAATATATTTTTTTTTTTTTTAAAAAAGCAGAAGTACATACTGATTATATTTTATACCTTTCCAGCCTTCTAAGGATTAATGTAGTTTGGCTGTGGAGCTCGAAAATGCTAGATTTTATGTAATTTGGTCGTTTGAATTAAAGGCTTTTAAATAGGCTTTATGTGATTTCGTTAATTGGAGTAAAAGTGAATAAGCCTTTATCTAATTTGATTATTAGGATCAAGAATGAAATATATTTGATATAGTGTACAATATTTGAATTGTTAGCCTTTTATGTCGTTTCGTTGTATATTGATGTAATCTTCTTGTCAAAATGAATAACACAACGAAAAGTCATAAAATCGAAAATCGAATTCATTTAAATCGGCAACGTGTGTCTTTTAAATGAATCGAAAAATAAAAGACACGTTAAGTTGTGACATGCACTGAAAAAATTATTCATATTTACGTAATAATTGCTTTTGCTTATCCCAGTTTGTCAAGGTAACGTACTGAACAATGAAAAATTATGTAACTAAAGTTACGATAAATTGTTTTGAAACATATCACTGCATGTTTTGAAAACGATTGCACTTCACAATTCATTGTAACAGTCGTAGAAAATAATTATTAATTAAAATATATTAATTTTTTTCGCCATAAAAAATATAGAAAAATATTTTATACAGAAAATTTTTTTCTTTTCTAATTAAAAAATAATTATTTTTTTTCTGAATTAATTACCGAATTAATTCATTTCACACTAATTACTTAAATATTGTATAAATATCAAAATCTGGTCTATTTTTCTGTCATCTAATTGCAGCTCGAGCAAACGATCGAGGAGTACCGTAACGTCCTGGACAATGACGCTTTGGGTTCAGGAAAATCCGCATCAGCGTTCCTCAAGTTGGTACCTCTAGTCAAATCAGCCACCCCAGACGAGCTCGTGAGAGTCATGAAAAGTCCACGATATCGTCAATTGAAATTACAATTGCTAGACGTCTTTGGTGCAGCTTCGACTCCAGCAAGCCATCAAGCAGCCATGAAAATCCTCCGACAAGATGAAATGGGCGACGAAACTGAAAGGTACCTTTGGGCCCTGTCCCTGTCTTCGACACCGAATGCAGACATTGCGAAGAATATTCTGAAGCGGTCAGAGGAGACACATCCAAATGACAAGGTGGCAGAAACGATAGCTTTGACCGCAGCAGCGATGGCACGCCATCTAGGCTCTCCAGCTGTCATCGAACAGGCAAGAGTCAGCTTAGAAATTGGCCTCGACAGTTGCACTGGAGAAGAGTGCAAACTGAAGTTCCTCAGGGCTTTAAGAAACTTAAGAAGCGAAGCTGCCATCCCAACTCTCTTAAAATTCGCAACTGGTGAGGACAAAGCTCTCAGTGTCTCAGCTTGGAAGGCACTGGCAGCTTTACCCAAACATACAGTAACCCCAGAGGTGAAGGCAGCAGCCAAGCGAGTTTTCTATCAAGTAGGTGGGCCTAAGAGAGACAGCAGTGCTAGAACTCTAGCCCTGGACATAATTCTAGAAACGAGTCCGTCAAAGGACGATGTTAGATACCTGGTGGAGTACTTAGCAGACACTGATCCTGCTTTTGAGATTCGAAAGTACCTCAGTCAACGCTTGGAGCAGCTCTCAGAGAAGGATCCTCGATTAGCCAAAGACTTAAATGAGATTCTGAGCACGAGTAGAAGAAACGTCGCCAATTACAACCTGTTCTCGCAGATAGGTCTCAGCACAGCTTTCACGAGGAGCTTTTTGAGGTCACTGAACAGCAATGGATCATTGGTAACAGTTCAGGAGATTTACTCAGGCTTAATGAAGCGTGGCATAGTCGACGTAGTCTTCCAAGTCGAGGATCACGAGGAGGCCCTGTTCTCTCTTGGTCTATTCGCTAGGGGTCTGTCGAGTTTTGTTTCGTCGAACAACGAAGAGGAGAAGATCGTGGACGACGAACCAGCCACTGCAGGAATGGAGCTAGACTTTCTCGGCGTTGGTATCAGACCATTCGTCTTTTTCTCTAGCCAAGGGGAACTTATGGGTCACCTCTGGTCCGGAACAGCGTCTCAGCGGACCCCAGCCTTTCAGGCCATCACCACTATCCACAATCACAACGAATACATTCCACTTACCTCTGGTATCGTAGCCGAAGTCGACGTTCAGGGTGCAGTTAGCTTCGATTTGGCTGGGCAGATTCAGATGAGCTTATGGTACAGGAACGCCGAATCCCTGGTGGATCTGAAGGCTGGGATAGTGATTCAAGGAGGCACAAAGGTGCGTACCGACTTCGTGCAGAGCATGGCGGAGTTCTCGATGACGATGGAACCTAAGTTGGAGTTGGCCACCAACGTGAACTTCTCTGGACCCGTGTCTTTGTGTTTGAGACTCAGCCAACCGGAGAACACGGTTAGGTATCAGATGTATAAGGTGGAAATAGTGGCAGGAAGTAGGCACAAGCTGAGGAAAACCAGGAGGGTGAAGCTACATAGTCCTGGCAAGTCGTATATGTTAAACAGGAAGAACAACGAGATGTGCTCTATGGTGTTCAGTTAATCATTGGTAAACGTTTGTTCACGTTTGTCGTGGGATTTGATAAAGTTCACGAGGACTGGTATCGCGGTTGTTTTCTTCTCCTTTTACGTGCATCTCGTGTGATATGTCGAGAAGAGGGAATAATGAGTGTAACGTGAAACGAGGATGAATATTTTTCTATTGTGTACTTGCTGCATTTATAGACGTAAGGAGTTTTATATCAACTATAGTCGCTCGAAGACATTCCACATCTGTCGATAGGTTCGTTTGTTTTAAAATTTAATTTTGGCTATTTTACGGTTGTATAATGACCCTTTATAATCAATCTTTCGTAAAGAATTATTTTGCCCAGCTTTATGCGTCTAATATCGGATCTCGAGTAAGGAATGTAACGAAGTATAATATACCGGGTGTTTCAAATTTAAAACATCTAATTGTGCCTGGTGTATTTTGTTAGTGAAAATGATAACGCTAACAATCGTAATTGTCATAATAGAAAGGATCTTATCGTAATATTTTGGTAAAATATTTATATACATATAGATATATATATATAAATATTTTAGCGAAATATTTATATATACATATATATATTATTTATATACAACATTTTTATTTATTTATACTATAAAGTATATTTTTTTATGTATCTTGCATATTCATATGGTACGTTTAATGCAAAAGGAATATTAATTTTTATAAACTTTAAGTCCAGGAATATGCAAAATATCGCTTATTGTTAGAAGTAAATATTAATAAATGAACAAATTTAATAGATTATAGAGGGTTGACAATATATTGAATTACTTATTTTTCTTATGAATTTATAATGTATAAAATTTGAATTATAATAATGTATATTTTATACATGAAATATTTTTACTTGAATACCACTAGTTCAGAGAATATAATGTATATGTTGAAAAATTATTATATTTCGTGATCATATATGATAAGATATCAGATATTATAAAATGGAGCAATAAAGAAAGATGGGATTGAAAATCTATATATTTTCCCGATTAAACGAAGAAATTATAATTTATTCGTTTCAAGCATGAGATAAGAGACATAAAAGGTGTTAAAATAAATGACATGCCTTGGTAGGAAAAAAGAAAACGGAAACTAAATCGGTGAAATAAATTAAAATGTAACAATTAAGAAAACCTCTTTCATTTTATTTTTAAGTACCTAGTCCAGGTTAAATAAAATATTGGCGAATTAAACCCTCTTTCCATTAAAGGAAAGAAAATTTAGTAAGACTAATCAAGGAAAAATATAGAAACGTTAAAAATATAGAAAAATTAATTATATGGATGTCAAAAAAGGGTGTAGGAAGCATTTGGTGTATAATTTCCATAAATTTTTCACTTTTCATATGACATTAACCTTTTAGGTACGGTGCGCCACTAAAATGGCGTCCGTGGAAAGCACCAATTTGAAAATTTGAACGATACGCTACTATAATGGCATCCGTGGAAAGCACCAATTTGAAAATTTGAACAGTACGTCACTATGGTGGCTTTCGTGGAAAATATCAATTTGAAAATTTGAATGGTACAGCATTATAGTGCCTTTCGTGGATATCATGATTTTGGACGGTATTATACGTCTTTTGCTTTATTTCTTATTTATTTCGCCTAAACCACATTCAAAAACAAAAATGATATAAGGCGAAGATCGAGCTACGTGCGTTTTATCCGGGAGACAAAATGGTGGACGAGCGCGCTGTACCTAAAGGTATTAATACTAATACTAATATAATACTAGATAATAATATACCAATACTAATATAATTTCATAGACAATTATCTGATCAGCTACGTGTCTATCAACAACAATTTAACACTTTACGTATTCAAACAAATGCAACTATTACATGTATGCCACATCCCTACCTAACCTATAAATCATTCTAGAAATTTTAATAACTAAGCACATCAAACTTTAGTGAAAAAATATTCTTCTAATCTTAACCTTAATATAGACATCAAATATTACCAAAAATAACAGATAGAACCAAAACTGCCATCAAAAGGTTAAAAATATCCTCCACTCACACTAGAGCAACGCGTAGAAAAGAGCCACACGAGTGAAGAATTCGCTATATTTATCAAAATATCTTCTTCAACGTGTCTTCATCAACAATGAGATCCTCGATCAAACAGCAAAACCTTTTTCACCTTTGAACCTGTGAACCTTTTCTTTTCACATTTCAATTACTTAACCCATGTACCACGTATACACCATAACTTGGTCATTTTAACGACAGCCGCACTCAGCCACAACCATGTCCTCGTACCCGTACTGATAAGTCAAAGTCCCACTGGCATCCAGATACAGTAGACTAGTAGGTGCTAACCTGGTCGGTACACAACAGGCCCTGCCAACCGGTTTGCTTGATCCCTCGACACCTTGCAGAGCTCCGTGCACCAATGTCTGCACGATCGCGTGTTTTGTGGGGCTGAGATGGTCCCCAAATGGATAGAAGCACTTCCCAGAGCACTGGTACGCCTCGTAGCCAGGTGGAGCAACGACCCACTCGTCATAGGCAATCAACGCGAAGTCTACATAGAGGGAACGACGTCTACAGGAGTTCTTGCGTCTCCTTCGAGGACCATCGGTCTCCTCTGTGTCTTCTTCTTGAATGGAACGTCGTGGTCGCTTCTTCCTGACCTTGGTATAGCTGAGTAGCAAGATTGGACCATCCCCACAGGGATGATAGCCAACTCTACCGTACACTCGGAAGCTGACAGCGCCACCACTCCTGGTAGCCACTGCAGAGGTAACGTTGAAGGCTCTCCAGCTATCATCCCTCCTCGATTTAGAGCTTCCAGAAGCGTTCACGTGGTTGGTACGTACTCTGAGGATGGATCCAGCCACGCCGAGTAATTCAGCTGTCTCTAGAGTTTCGTCAGGGTCCACTGGAGGCACCGAGAACACCAGGATCCTGGCTCCATCATTGGTTGGACCTGACACGTGGATAGGTTCCAATGCTCGAACTATGTCCACGTCTGATCTCCGATGGTACAGCTCCAGCATGTACTTGGATACCACACCTCTGTACTTCCTGTGGCTTTTGTCGATGCTTCTTCTGTTGGTTTTGTTCGAGAATCGATGAAGAGCCGATGGCGAGGAGGCTGGGATGGAGAGGTCGAACTGGATGGATGCTTTCGCGTGAACGGTCGAGGTCTGCCAGGAGAGGGAGCCTGTTTTCCACAATCCGTAGGCACAGAAGGTCCCTACGCAGACCAGGAAGAAGTACTGAAAGGGATTCATGGGTGAGATCACTGTGGGATGCTTGGTGATTTAGAGGCTTCGCGATGGACAAGTGAAAAATCGATTTCGAACCGAAGTCGATCGGATTTGGCATCCAACTGCTGATGAATCCTTGGTCGGTGGCTGAGGTTGAAGGACCGTTTTTAAATAGCTGCCAATAGAAAGGCAGGGTTCGAAATTACTGCTGGAATGTCCTTATCATCCGCAGACCACCACTCGACCTCCAGCCACCCCGAGAGATTGATATATGCTGAGTATGGTTATGCTTGTGGCTCGAGGCTTTAGTAGAGGGAAGACATCTTTGGGGTGACTTCCAAGTATGAGACCAAGATACGATGTGGTTTCAGAAAATTTTTGTCTCAATTTTTATCCTATTTTATGGATGGAATATGAATCTACAGCCTCCTTTTATAGAATGTCTCATTTTCTCAAACTTAACATCAAATTTAAGAGAATTTGAAGTTATAAATATATATATAATAGTTTATAATATTATAATTATAATATCTTGATAGCAGAAAGAGAGAGAGAGAGAGGAGTATGGCAGAATGAGAGACGATGGAGTTTAAATAAATTAAGAGGTATATTATTATTACAACTTATTCTTCAATAGATTTTGATCCCTACATTTAAGTAAAATTATTAGCTCACCACGATATTAGTCGAAAATGTCAATACAATTAAAAATTTTATAGGTAAATAGTAATAATAATAGTTTATAATATTGTAATTGTAATATTCTGTGACAAATTATCGAAGATAGCCTGAACACTAGATTCATCATGTAGATCTTCATTAAAAATCCCAAAAAGCATTTGTATTATAATAAGGTAATGAAAATTGTATAAGAAATAGCAGAAAAAGAGAGAAAGAGAGAGAGAGAGAGGAGAATGGCAGAATGAGAGACGATAGAATTTAAATAAATTAAGAGGAATATTATTATTACAACTTATCCTTCAAAAGGTTTTGTCATTAGTTGTCAATTAGGTTTCATCACGATATTAGTCGAAAATGTCAATACAATTAAAAATTTTATGAGTAAATAAATGAAACCTCCAATAGGTAGATAAATTAAACCTATTGGAGGATAAATTAAGAAGAAATTATAAGTGGAAGTTAATTGACCTGTGATCTCTGCATTTTTATTTTCTAAAATGAAAAGTATTCTTAAACGATATTTGCAACAAATTTCTGTCCACATTAAAAAATCCGGTTAAGAACATAGTAAAATATCTAATTATCTAAATTTGATTCTTCCTACAAGTATTTATGTAATTCGTTTAAGAAACGTTACGAGCATTTCTAGCAGCAAATGAAACTGTCTCACTGTACTATACTAAAAATGATAGATAAAGACCAAGGAAACCTCATCGAAACATTCGTATCTACTAGATACTCGTGACGAAACGAACTCTGCAACATTACAGTCTTAATATACACTTAACCTATTACATTGCAACATAGTGTTTACTATCAGCCTTAATCCCTACGTAATCCGCAACGGAAGACCTCTCAGGAGACAGAGACCCCGGAACGACGGAAGTCGACATTGAACGCTCAGCCAACGTAAACTTTCCCTAAATCACGATCACTGACTGGAACGACGGCATTAATCGCGATCATAACGATAGCCCAAGTGTTGATCCAGGAAGCGGCTGTCGTCGGCTGGCGAAAGTGCCTGTAACGAGCGCTTTCAAGCAGTTCGTTCTACGTCAAAGTCCGATGGATGATCGATTTTTTCACGTCTGGCGATCATCCAACAAGTTCGGTGGCTGTCGAGGACGACGCTCGCTCCACCAGCGGGCCACTATATTTAAATATAGTCGAAGATCGTCGTAGAGAGATTGGACGAGCGGCTAGTCTTATGTGCGAGCTACTGATAGCAGCCGCTCCTCTCGGTGGAGCAGCAGCAGTAGCGCTTCTGACAAGCAAAGTGATCGAGAGGTGAGCTCCGGCGAACGAATAGGTGGTGTAGATCCCGTGGCCGTCCGGGCCCCGTCTCGAGTGACCGTGTATCCCGGGCAAAATCTTCAGCTGAAGGGACCTACGTCAGCCCGTGGCCGTTCGTGCTAACGGGCCTCCTCTGTGCAACGTTCGTCTAGCATCCGAGACATGACGTCCAGTTGCTTCTCCCCTCCGCCTCTTCGACCACCGATCGACCTCAACGATCAGTCCGACACAGTCAAGGTGGAGTGTGTCCTCTTGGTCCTCCATTAATCAGTGTTTCCCGTTCGAGTCGTAGCTATCATCCTTGAATGAAAATATTCCAAGGACCATCGGATGGGATGCCGGGTGCCCTAGAAAATATTTGGACTGTAGACCCGATAGAAGACGGTTCCCCGTGATTTCACGTCGTTAGCTACCCGCGCCAAGCCTCGGAACGAACGATCTGACGAAATCCACGGGCCAGTCTGCCTGCTTCCGAAGGCTCGCTGGTGTGTGGGTGGGCAGACTCGTTGCACAAGCGACTTGGCCGAGTCGGGTCGTCGCGTGACTGCGCGGAAGAAGCACCGGGGACATGTCCGCGACGTGGTCGCTATCTCTTCCAGCAGATTCGCGACCTGGACGCGAGGGTAGCAATTGCTCCGAGTTCGGTGGATCGGGTCCACGCGCTAATGCAATGTCCCAGTCGCGCACACCGCGCTCTCTATACTTAGATTTGCACTTGGCATTCCATTACGTAACGGAGACAGGCATACGTCGGATTTCACGTGTGCAAACGTGTGTGTTTTGCAGGGTACCGACCTGATCAGAGTGTCGAGGTTTTATAAGGACAGCAAGGAGGGGAAGTTCGTGAGCTTCGTGCATGAGGACACGAGGACCCTGTACGACGGCTTCCGCAAAGGCGCCAAGGAGTCCAGTAAGTCCGATTCCTCTGCTCGGCCAGGCTGCTCGCAGAAACACGTTCGAGAGCGTCCGTGTCTCGAGTTCGTGTTTTAAATAAACGAGAGCTGACCAGCATAATGCACCGCTTGGCAAGTGGCTACCTGGTCACGTTCGAATGACAAACGCGTCTCAGTGAACGCTGCTGGGTAATGAGCACCTCGACTGTTTCCTTTTCATTCGTGTCGATTCATCTCGCGATTCAGCCGAGCCGAGTATCATCGTGCTGTTATTTCATTCGCGAAGCGGATTTGTATTTTTAACCCGCGATGTAGCCCACGCGGGACACCTGTCGTACCCTTAGGAACGATGGAGTCGTAGCGCTGGTTAGGGTTGATTACGACCACGCGTTGGGGTCCTCGTTACAGTAGTGAATCCGGATGTTCAATGGGGAAACGAATGGGAATGGTCGTTGTTTACGTTATCGTGTCAATTTTGTGTTGTATATACAAATTGTAGGTAAATGTTAGTATGGATAGGATGTTAGTGTAAATTAGGTTCTCAAGTGGCTACATTTGTTGACAATTAGTATGGGGTTCAAGTTAGTACTTGGAAACAATGAAAGTGAAAGGACTTGGAGGAAATTAGGAGAAATTAGTGGTCTAACTATTCTAATTGCTTGTAATTAGTATAAGATTTATATTTCTATAGATTTTATTTTTTTTTGTCTATATATGTAAATCAAGTTTGTAGTAAAATGTCAATTGCTAAGATAATTCATTCATGATTGTATAAGGATTCATAATGCTAGGTACATTCCTAATTTAAAAAATTTTGTAATAAATTTTGTGATTGTTATTTTCAAAGTCAGTTATAAATATTGTGTAAAAAATAATTTTTTTTTTTTACATATTTACATTTAACAAAATGTCTTGAAACGTCATAGAGGCACAGGTGTAATTAGTTTCCTAGAATATTTTGATATTTTTCTGAATATTTTAGAAATTCTACACAATAAATATCCAAAATATTTTTACTTTTCAATTTTTAATTCTCTTATTTAATATATGAATCGTGGAAAATTAAATTTTCCTGAAAAACTGTGGCACAAAATACAATTTTTAGACAACGAAATTTATTTTACGTTGTTATATTAATTTCATGGGTGTAGAATAATTCTTGAAATAATATTATGCGATTCAAAATGTGAAATATGGTACGCATCAGAAAATTCGTTTTAGCTAAATAATTATGACTCATTTCCGGTTATTTATAGTTTGTTAAATAAAAGGCAGCGTAATGAAATAAATTACGTAGAATTCGTATTTAAAATTTCATTAGACAATTTATAAATAGAATTTATTTGAAGTTTGGCAATCTTTTTATGTTGCAGCGTTTCGATTCGTTTATTTCTTTTGGAAATCAAAGATTTCTTGACTTTTGTCTTGGATTTATAACTACGAAAAATATACAACACCTTTTAATGGGATTTATTAATAAATTATTATCTTTGTCTTCTAGAATCGTGCACTAGTTTTAAGATATATTTTCAAAAATATCACTGTTGTTACATAGTCCAAAAATATATCGACTCGCGAAGCTTATTTTAGGTAAAAATAAATATAAACTTGTTTAATGTAAACATTTATTTATATTTAATTAAATATTTATATCTTGCAATTGTATTATAGAATTAATCAAATTGTTTAATTTAGAAAGAAACGTATATTAAAAATATTATGTTAATATAAATTACTATAAAAATTGACAATTTTTATTGCAAAATAAATAGAATATAGAATATAATTATACATCAAGTTCAAAATTTAAGTTTGGCAATTATTCTAAGAGCAATTATTAAGATTTATTATTGATTCGAGTCATTGCAATAAACCAATATTTATTTATAATTTCTGTATAGCAAGTGTTACTTACTGAATTACAAATTACGCAAAAATAATTTATAATATTTATAAAATTCATTATAACTTTGACTCGTATATTTAATTATTTCCATTATATTGTTTTACTATTTTCATTCGTCACTTTTATTATCATTATTTGTACACATAATATTGAGATGTAAATTGTGTTTGCTAACAGTTTAGTGTTAATAGTCAAACAAATTACATTGACATATAATTACCCAGGTGATAAACATGTTTCAATCACGACAATGCACATATCATTCTCATCAATTCTCTTCTTTCATTGCATCGAGACTGTACTCGGCTTCCTCGGTTGTCTCCTCCATCATTTATCGTTAACGTGAGAGTTGGCTACAATTAAGATCTCTAGATTAGCTCGTAGCATGAGACACGAGACTTTCGTGACACGCTTAAAGATATGTATACGATTCCTTTACTACTTTAGTCTTAATGTCGTTAGAAAATCGTTCAGTGGACAAAGGTGTTGTTACTTACGTGAGAGAATAGCAAATTATTATTTAGTAAACACAAATATATCGAGAAAAATTGAAAAATTTGTCGAAAGATCAATACAAAAAGTGGATAAAAATTATAACACAATGGAAGAATATAAAAGAAAGAACAAGTACAACAACAATTAAAATATATAACAAAAGAGGGTTTATAGGATACAAAAGTATGTACATACATAGTTATTATACGTTTACATAAAATTTATATAAAATAGATTTAATTGTTGATGTATATATTTTCTGTAAATGTATTAACTAATTTATTTATTCTATCATACTAACAATTTTTTATTTTTTCTCTCTTTATTTCTCAAAATTCGTTTAGTTTTTAATAAAAAGTTTAAAAAACTTATAATTAACTTGATATCATATTTTTGATAATATTTAGAAATATATTTCTAAATATTTAAATTAATTTATTAAATTTTGTATGATTATATCAGCAATTAATTTAATTATAAAACTTATTTAATTATAATTTAATTATAATTTATAATTTATAATTTAATTAATAAAACATAAATTTTCAGCTATTCATCTAGAACAAAAGTCTAACAAATTAGTAGTATAATTAAACATAAAAATATTTTAATAAAATACAAATTTTAATTAAATCTAATAAATTTAGATAAAATTAAAATTGTAATAAAACTTCCAAATGCAATAAAAATCTTTGGCAAAGTTACCAAATCGATAATAAACAAAAGCCTACAGGATTCCATATCTTCGTGTAAACAATCTAACATTCAATATTCCTACTGCTATTATTTATTTACCAAATACAGAAAACACGTGAACACCCATTTGGTTATTACTAATTAAACAGAATTGCCAAATTGGTCAGGAAACTTCATCGTCTGATCTATCTGTTACTCGTTGGCTGGTCTTCTTGTCACGCAGACAACGGCCCCTGTCTTGGCTGGCGGGATGGACCAAACAAACCATACCAGTGGCTACATTACAACGAGACCCTGCTCAGGGCGAAGAATTTCGGCTCTGGCCTAGTGTCTCTGGGGCTGGTGCCAGGATCAAATACACTCGTGGGTCTGTACAGTCAAAATTGCCCGGAATGGATCCTCACCGAACAGGCTTGCTATACGTACTCCTTGGCTGTTGTGCCCTTATACGACACACTGGGCCCTGATGCCTGTGCCTTTATCATTAACCAGGCTGAGATCAGCCTGGTTGTCTGTGAAAATGACAAGAAGTGCAACTTGCTGCTCGATAAAGCACCAAGGTACGTAAAATTCACTATGGACAGTGTATAAAGAGAATTATGCAATAGTTTCTTCTAATCTGAAATGTTTCATTTATTATTATTTTTAATAGGCAAAATTGTTTTAGTATTGTCTGTCTCTTTTAGTAAGTCAGAGAAATATTGAGTGTAAAATATAAAATAAGATTACAATGTAAAAAGAGAATTATGCGATTATTTCTTTTAGTCTGAAATATTTAATTTGTTATTATTTTTAATTAATACAAAATTGTTTTAGTTTTGCCTCGAAATAAATTTGTGGAAAAGGTGTTTGTAGAATTTTAATTGGAAAGAATTCTTGGAGGCAGGAAATGATGTTTTAGGTAGTTTTTGATGGGTTTCCTAGTTGTTCATGGGTTTAGGAATATTGTGAATTTTGACAAAGTCTGAGAAACATTGAATATAAAATATAAAATAAGATTACAATATGAAAAGAGAATTATGCAATTGTTTCTTCTAATCTGAAATATTTAATTTAATACTTTTAATAAACAAAATTGTTTTAGTATTATTTTGAAATAAATTTTCGAAAAAAGTGTTCGTAGAATTTTAATTGAATAGGAATCCTTGGAGTCAAGAGATGATGTGTTGGGTAGTTTTGAATGGGTTTCCTACATAGTTGTTCGTGGGTTTAGTAATATTGTGAATTTTAACAAAGTTTGAGAGACATCTATGAAGAGTTTATAAAATGAAATCCACTTTTAAGTAAACATAGATTACATAGAGTATTTAACCATAGATGTACGAAAATTAAGATTTGACACTTCGTGTAAACGTACCATAAAGTTCAACAGTTAAAAAAGGAATTATTAATACACTTTACTAGTTTCCATAGTTTATTGTAATTATTTTTGTTTAAATATCTTTGAATATTATTATATTATTTTGTTATAGTAGAAATAGCATTGCAATTCAAACAAAAAATGACGAAGTTAACTTGTTTTACATTTAAAAATAGTCTAAAGGAAGACAATCGTCTAATGAGGCTTCGACCAAACAGTGATACAAATCACGATTTTGAACACTGATACTTGGTATGTTGCAGTGGCATTATGCCATGAATGAATATATAAACGCTTTTTCCACAACATCGACGCGGACACGATTTACAAATCTCGCGCGGTATTGGAGACAAATTTAAACATTTCCGTGCAATGTCCTGAAACATTTGGCACGGCAAAGTAACGTGACTTTTTATTGCAAACTCACCTTAATGTAGAGTAATGCGGTTTATAAGAAATAACTATATTAAAACTAGTTATACTTATATTCTATATATTACAGTATACACATATATATATATATATTAAAACTAGTTATACAGAATCCGTATACCATAATCTCGTAAATAATTTTTATTGTTTATTTTTATTGCGATGTGAGTAATTATAAAATTACACAATGTTGCCATTATCTTCGCTCTATTTACACGGATTAACTCGCAGTATCGAGATATCGAGAGTTGAATCACGTCATCGAACTATTGGTCATGTGACGAGTAGATTCAAGCCTGGATTGGGTTAGGTTTGGGCTCCTTATTCCTCCGTGAGGATGACGTAGAGGTTATGTTAGGTTAGGTACCGTTTGGAGAAGTAAAGATCCCCACTCCAGGCTTAAATCTCTTCGTCACATGGCCAAAAGTTCACGATGTCACGATTCAACACCCATTCTCCCAAGAAGCTTTCCAAAAAGTTTTTGAAGACATAAAACCACGTGATATATATTTAAGATCATAGTTGTAGAGATCGACTAGAATAATATTGCGATACTTAATTGATCAAAAATAAGCTTTATAAATAGAATAATAATAATTAAGGTAATACAATAATAACTATGCAACACACTAACAATTTTCTTCCAACTGACTTTAAGACTTCTGATTTAAAAACTGACTTTAAACTGACTCGCTCGTATCTTTGCACCCTTATTTAACTTTGCACCCTGTTTTTTTTCATACCCAGACACTCTTCCTCGATCATGCACCTCCCACGTGACCTCTGTGGGCCAAGTATAGTGCATTCGAGAAAAGAAGGCACAGCGTATTTACATCCTCATGGCTGATTAACTTCGTTGACAATCCCATGATCATAGACAGTGACCGAAAAGACAGTGATCGATGATCTTCGTCACCGTTTTCGACCAATATCGATCACAGCCTGTGATCAAAGAAATGTCAGCAGAATTAATCAGCTGTGAAGATGTAAACGCGCAGTGCCATCTTTTCTCGAACGCATAGTAGTTCAAATTCGTAAGAGACTCATTCATAAATTTTTACTCATTTCTCACACACGACTCTGTCATAAATATCCCTTACGATCGATCCTCTTGCACGCGGTCACTTTTGTCCTACGTCCCAAACACTCTTAATACTCCTTCAAGGCCGTTCTCGTTCCAATCCCACGTATATGACATCTGTTCTTCTTCCGAGCACGACGAACCCGACTAATCGCCTTTCATCTTCTCACCCAGATGCCTGAGAAAAATGGTGATAATAAAAGAGACGAGGCCAACGACGAACCAGAGGGCGAAGAACCGTGGCGTCGAGCTGTTCAAGTTCGAGGACGTGGAACGGATAGGCGCCCAGAAGAACTACCCGGAAGTGCCGCCCAAGTTGACCGACCTATGCACGATATGCTACACGTCGGGTACCACGGGGAACCCCAAGGGCGTGATGCTGACGCACCACAACGTGATGGCCGGAGTGAGCGCGGTCCTGATGCAGTTAGGCGAGCACAGGCCCTCGTACAAGGACACGATGATCAGCTTCTTGCCTCTGGCACACATGTTGGAACGTTGCTGCGAGAATGGCATGTACATGGTGGGCGGGTCCGTGGGCTTTTACAGCGGTGACATCAAAATGTTGCCCGAGGATATGAAAGCCTTGAGGCCTACTGTGATGCCAGCGGTTCCCAGGCTGTTGAATCGGATGTACGACAAGGTGAGACAATTACAAACTTCGCCGATTTCTTTCCAACTTCGTGTACCAGTCAGCATCTGGTAAATACGTCGAGAATCCATTGTTTACAGTTTGACAGTTAGGTTTCTTGGAGATCTGGGTAGATGTCGCTGCTGAGTACTCGTTGGACACTAGGTGGGGTTTGCTTATTTTCGAAGCGACGATTTGAAGGATGAGTGGGCTGTTTCAAAGTAGTTTAAAATGATCATTACCATTACTCGTCACTGATCACATAATCTCAGTATCATCTTAGCATCGCAAATAAACTGCACCCGAAGCCTCGCTAAAGTAGCAGTCATCGATTTCAAAGGCATTTATCTAAACAAGATGGACGTTTCACTTTATGTGGACGTATTTAGGAAATTTCGTGTTTACCATTTCAGAGGCAGTGGCGGCTGCTCAAGTGATATTCTTGGCGATCAAAGTTACCGGAGTATCGGAAGACGAGATATTTTCGAGTGCTCTCATCGAGGTGCAAGGACAGTCGGGCGTTGAACAAACTCGTAGGGAATCGCGTTCCACGGAAGTCACGGAATTCGCTAGCGATTTTGTTTTCGAACGAGCGACCATCCATCGAGTGATATTTTTACACTCAACGAACCGTCAAAGTGCAAGGGTGCACGCTAAGTAATTTATTCCGGACAATTTATCGGACCGACGGTCGTGAAATGCTTAATGAATCGCCGTTGGTGTGCCAGAAATAATTTGACGAATTTGCGGGTCGCGTCAGGCACATTCGAGTTTGATGGACAGTTGCATTAGCGAAATTGTCCAGACGCGAGATTGCTTCGTAAATGTCTTCTATAAACGCCCTCATGGCCGAAATAATAAACCTCATTTCCCCCACCCTTTGCAGATCAATGGACTATTTGCTCGTTCCGTGTCGTGAAATTATTCGCAGCTGAAAAGGTTACATTGGAATATTTAATGAGAGAAAATTGAGAGGTTAGGTTTGTAATTCGCGAAGTTCTTGGCTTATTTCGTATTTATTCGCTGGGTCAAGATGGTTGCTGATCTTCCTTTCGTTACCATTTCTGAAGCAATGGAGGATCAACGTATTGAACACAACGAGGAAATTATTTTTAGGTTAAATGGGTAAAGGTTTCATTGAAATATTTGTTGAGAGAAAATTAAACTTAAGGTTAAATTTATAATTCGCGAAGTTCTTGGTTCATTTCGTATTTATTCGCTGGGTCAAGATGGCTGCCGATCTTCCTTTCGTTACCATTTTTGAAACAATGAATGATCAACGTATTGAACGTAACGAGCAAATTATTTTTAGGTTAAGTGGAAAGATTTCATTGAAATATTTGATTAGAGGAAGTAATACTTGTGGTTAATTCATTGATAAAACATTTTCGTCTTATTTTCTATCCATCTTGTTGAGACAGGATGGTTAACCATTTCTCTTCTGATATTTTTGAAAAAGCAAATAATTTGTGTATTTGATGTCTTAAGAAAGAATTATTTCCAATACGCGTGGAAGAATTATGCTAGGATATTTAATGACAGGAGGTGATATTGATTATTATTACTAGTTGGTCAAGCTTAAATTTAAACATGCTTAACGATAATTTTATTTGCTTTGGCTGCTTAAGGTGACCCACAAAATGTATTAAATTCGGAGAAATAGGAATTGATTTGATTTATGTTGTGTTTGGAGATACACCAGCGCTGCGTGGACATTTCTTGAACTTCTGATGGCCACTCGTGGGAGGTTAGGAAGTAGTAAATCACGTATACGCTTCGTATTCCTTAACATAAATAACTTTTCAGTTATCTATGAATATTTGACACTTTATGATGTCACTTCGACGTCGACGCTTCCAGATTTATAGAATATAAGTTATCGATAGGTTTGGGAAGCTTACGAGAAACATAATATAATTTATGAAGTCGTATATTTAATATATTACTTATTATTCAGATTTATTTATTGAATATTTAACTAAAGTTATATTCTATGAAATATTCTGTTAAATTATAAATAAATTATAAACAATTCTACTATATAAACTAATTCTTTAATAAATTATAGAATAGATTTTATAAAAAATATATTCTACAAAATATAAATTGTATATTTCTACAATTTCTATTTTTACATTCTCAACAAAAATAGAAATAGGCAAATATTTCATATTAATCCAAAAAACCACATGTACATCACTCACACTTCTCTCTTCGATGATTCACGGATATTTCGAATTCCAAGCAAGATTTATTATCCTCACAATCAGTCACCTTCAAAGACTGAAAGTCTCTTTAAACACAAGTTACCTCAGAATTGTGTAACGATAATAAAAATCTACTTATCTTGTCACGTTGTTAATATATAATACTAGCACTGTCTGTAATAAATGAATGTAACAGATGAACATATGTCTAGTAATCCAATAGTAATCGGCTAAAGTGTCTGACAGTGATATTCTTCTTTAAAGGTTTTTACATTTTCAGAACGAAAATGTTTTCTTGGTAGTAAATCGACACGTCAAGTACACACGTCAGATTTATTAAGGTTAGCGTTACGAAATATATTTCGAGACTGTACTGGCAAATGCAAATCGTGGGTGACAGGCATAGCGCAACGAAACAGGTGGAGGCGATCTCACCACCCAACTTGACCCTGAGATCTCGAATGAATGGAATTTGCGAGTTCTGTCATGATAAATCCACGTATTAAATGCGACCCTAACGCATTTGTTTCGCAAATTTACGGTTCCTTTAACTTTAATAATCCGTGGAAAGAATCCGAAAAAATAAAAATTAAAATTAAATTTTAATTTTAATTTTAAAGCGTGGTAGTTGAGATATAACTATTTGTAGTATATACTATATAAATATAATATTATAGGAAATATATATTAAAAGTCACATTAAATTCTATAATATTATAAACATTATGTTTCTCGTAACAAAAATAATAGAAAAATTGTAATATAGATATTAAACAATACTTAAAATAGTTACGGTATATAACCAGTGACTTTTATGGTTTTTACAGTGGTTTTTATAGTAGTCGCCATGAAAAATTATTTTTCTTAATTTCCTAAGAGCAGTGAAATTTATTTCGAATTTTCCATTTTATTAAATTTCATTATTAAATTTAGCGGAGGAAACAGAATTCTCAGAACCTTAAATAACTTGAAAAATATATTTTTTTAAAAAGTCAATTTACGAAAATAAATAAAATTTAAAATTGCGACGAAAATAGTACGAATCGTAATAATAGTACGATAGTATCGAAATTGGAAAGATTACGTAAATAAATAGATATTAAATTTAATTAAAAATGATTTGAATATTAAATTCAACAAAAGCATATTGAACTTTGAATAAAATTTGATAGGATATGAAGAAATGGTAGATTAAATGGCTTAGAATTAGCCAAACACAGTACCTAAAATAGCAATATTGTCTATTAACATAGATTTATGCAAGGCATTACAAGCAACGACGTTTCGTTATTATTTAACGACGGAATTTTGAAGTCTGATGCAAGGATTACTGCTTTTGATACGCGAAATCCCTGCAAAAACACGTGACTCTATTCTGTTCTTGAATTCGCAACACGTAAACATATCCGCAAAAATAGCCTGGTGGCATGATTTTATTTAGAGCCGTAAATGAATGCAACACCTGAGAATCCACCAGCCACCAAACATTCAATATGTTCGTCTAATTCTAAAAAAAGACCACGATATTTACCTGAAAACCACATTCACCGTCTAACATTTCCCTCGAGACCTTTTCATATTGCTGATCGTCATTCCGAGGTTCAACCAATCGAAATAAAGACACCGTGGCCGATTAAAAATCGCATCAAAGAATTTCGACCAGCATACATCAAAATCTAAATAAAACGAACCATAAATCTCGCGCTTCGCTAAACCGTCAAACTCCTCAAACAAGCAACTCCCAAGTATCCAGATCGCATAACTCACCGGTGTCAGTAAACAGCTTTTCCTCGTGGAAATCGCCCATTCACGCGTGGTTCAGATTCAGGAATAAATCACTCGGAAATAGATCTCAAACGAGCCGTGAAACTATACAAGTTAGAAATCGAATTTTCCTCGCGATCAAAATCCAATTTACGATCGTAAGGAGTGCAAGAGCAGTCGATCTTCGACTCGAGAGCTCGCGAATCTCTGACATCCTGAGTCAAATGAGTCAAATTGAGTAAAAAATTCCACAAATTTTTTTACGATCACAGGATCATGATCACTTGGTTTCTTACTGGATCTCATGACACGTTGCTTATGAACATCGAATTAACGATATAGTGATGACAGTTCAATTTGCAAAGATACAGCTTAACCTCTAAAGGTTAGGCTACTCCAGACCCTTTCACATAGGTGAAAGAATGCATTCAAATAGGCAAGGAAATAATTGCAAATAATTGCAAAGAATAATTATTAATTGTATATCACGTGTAGTAACATGTCAATATACGGTTCCTAACATTCCGTCCACCATTTTGACTATCATCAACTCCACTTGCATCTTCAATTAAGATTTCTTCCTGTGAAATCGCTACCTGCGAATTGTTCGCTCGAACAAGTTAGCATTCGTGTCCCAAATTTGTCAGGACTCCTCGTGAACGCAGTTCAGCTGGTTCGTTTCATCAGCCATGTTAAATATAGCAGGTATAGTGACCAATCGGTACTTTGCAGGTCCAAACGGAACTTGGTAGCTCGTGCATGAAGAAGATGGTGTTCAGCTTGGGCATGCGGGCGAAGGAGGCGGAGCTGAAGAAAGGAATCATCAGGAACAACAGCGTGTGGGACAAGCTGGCCTTCGGGAAGATCAAGGAGTCGACGGGAGGGAGGCTGAGGCTGATGCTCGTTGGCTCTGCACCGTTGGCAGGAAACGTGCTCACCTTCACCAGATGCGCCCTCGGCTGCTTGGTCGTCGAGGGGTACGGACAGACCGAGTGTGGTGCACCGATCACTCTCACTGTTCAGGTTGGAATGAATGATAAGACGATTCATATATGCGTATATATAACGGGTGTCCAAAAATTCACGTAATTTTGATAGAAAACGCAGTTTAATTTTTAAATTGTAAATATTAGGCTGTTAAACATTAAGTTGTTAAATATTAAATTTTAAATATTAAGTTGTAAATATTTACAAAAATTGTAAATATTGCTTAACAATGAAGACACGTTGTTCTTTCACGTAGCGCGCCATTTTTTATAACCTTGAACTGTCAGCTGTCACGCTGTTTATTTTTCTATCATTGGCAATACTGTACCGCGCAAATGGCGTGAAATTTAAATCTTGCGTGAATTTTGGGCATCCTATATTTTTACATACAGGGTAATTCGTTCGATTGTGGACTCAAAGGTAGATCTATTCAGAAATCCTTAATACTTGAAATTTTATAACTGACTTATATACGCAAACAGATGTCGCTAGATATGTACATTCGTTAGATTAGTGTGTAAGTACATAGGACGAACTTTAATGGTGTTTAGGTGGCGGTAATAACTCCGAGTCCATTGGCGAACAAATTACCCTACATATACCTTTGAGTGTGTATATATCACGTTCATAATTATTAATTCATAAATATATATAAATTAAAATTTTTAGAAATTGTGACATGTGGCATTTTTCCGTACAATCACAGAGTTGTATGAACATATTTCACTCGTGAAACGTAGCAAATCGAATACTTTCGTGTATGAGAATATGTATAATCTGCTAATTAGTTTTACCTAATTAGCACATGAGTTAATTAATCACCTATACGAGAGTAATGTGGACGTTCCCAGTACAATGTTTTTGTAACGGTACTGTTTCGAATTCTCTGGAGAGAGGATTACTCTGTACATTGAACTCTCAGGTTGTTTGTTGATGGTAACTGGTGGAGGAAAATGGTGATGGTATACTGTTGAAGAAATAGAGGGCTCTTGATGAGTGATGCATTTTAACGAGCATGAACATACTATACTGATATATTTTTGGTAGAGAATGAATAATTAATAATATTTATGGTAATTATATTTTCATTTTATTTTGAATTAAATCATATTTCTGAATCAATTAAACAAAGCTGATTTTCATAGTTTTTTTTAAATCTTAAACAAATTTTGAAAGCAGTTTATCTTTTAAGCATAATTTTTAACTATAATTCATTAGGTAAATAATAGTACACACGCTAACATTGGAGTGTTTACAGTGTATCTGTGATAAGGTTAAACAGTTGGTTAAATTATGAGTTATTTTTAATCAGATAATTATTCTATTCTATTCCATCTTATTATTTTTTATTATTTTTATTATTATTTATTTTTTGGATTCTCCACTGTATTTAATTTTTATTTCATTATACATATGATAAGATATCAATAGCTTGATGTCATTCTCGAAAACAAAAATGTTTGTTTAAAAGATGGGTATTATTTATTTGGTCGACAATGATAGAATGCATAATAATACAAATTTAGAAAATGTTTTCGTAATAAAAATAGTTGTCTATGGTTTGGTTTCACGTAAGAAGGTTATTTTAATCGGAATATTTATGTTTAATATTTGTCGAAACTTTGACTTTGAATTCGAAGTGGATTCTAGAAATAGCATCACAAATGCTGTTGACAACTTTCACATGCAGATACTCCAAAAAATGTTATTTCTCACGTTTAATAACACTATGATTTTTTAACACCAAAGTCAGCTTTTTGCATATCTTAAATTATCCTTCTTTCATAATATAAAAATATAAAATTTCACAGAGAATCTACATCATTTTCTTTTTTAATAAATTTTAAATCATCCATATGTTTTTCTTTTTTTTAAAATAATTAATATTAAATTAATATTATTCAATACAAATTTAACATTATTTCACATTACAAATACTATTTATGACCCTTGTAGTACTAACTGGTTGGCATTTTCTAACTGCCATAGATGGCAGTTTGTCTGTGCATGGTACCATTGCATTCAAATTACCTATTTTACCATTAATTAAAATAGCTTTTAACTTTATTCTTTATAATTAATATTATAAATATAACCTATAGCATCTATTACGACAATATTTAGGAAACATATTTAATAACCTGCAAATTCAACGTCCTCCTAGGACTCGAGATTGCACGTAGCCAAAGGTATCAACGTTGATTTCAAGCCATTGAGTTACGTTCAAGTACGCTTGTCGTTTAACCGTGTCTTACACAAGTAATGTTATATAGCGTATGGAATGCAAAGAGAGGAATAAGCGTGGTGTATGTTAACAGACGTCTTAGCTCGAAGCAAATACATAGTCGCGTCTCTCCGTCGAAAGAGCCGGTCAATAAACGCTCCGTAAATAAATCGCTCGTGCACCCGTTGAGCTTAAATCGCGGGTTATAGTCTTTAGTGGGCTACAAAAACAAGTCGTTACTTAAAAAAAAAATAAATTATCCGAAAATTATTACCGAGTTACAATATACGCTTATTATTTACACCTAAGATTCTTGCAATGTTTAGTTTGCTGCAAATACATGGCAATTTCAGTTTGATTGAAAAGAATTATCGAAAATGTCAAAAGCCTTTGAGTTATTTTATGAAAAATTACAATATCGTATTAGATATTCCATTATTGTTAGAAATTAAATGAAGTTAAATGGAAAGATGGAGTAATAAAATTTGAAAAATTAGTGCTAAAATGGAAAATTTGGTAAATTAGAATTTCCATTGAAATAATTTTGCGTAAAGCTGCAACCATAATTTTCAAAAATGATACACTGTTTGATAGATTAAATATAGTGTGTGAAATATTATCATAAATATATGGCAACATCTTTGCTTCTTTTAGATTCACTTTTCGGGGGTATTCTATAATAGCAGTGTTAGTGTAAAGCAATAAAAATTGTCAGCATTTTAATATTTACTCAAATTTGAAAAGAAACCTTTCAAGGCTAAGTTAATTGCAACAGTAAAATGTATTTCAACAATAACTTCTTTCCACAACATTCGGTACAGTAAAACTTAAAGTCTAAATTATTTTGGTGAATTTGTGATTTTAAATAGGAATTGTATTAGTCTTATGAGACTAATAAAAACAACTTATACAACTATGAATATAGAAAACTGACTATTATAAGAATGTTGTCAATCCAATATGACTTTAACTAGTAGCATAACAATCACTTAATACAAGCCATAGTAATTTTCATAAAATTTTAACAACTGTAAATTAGAATACATAGTTACTCAGAGTCCCCATAAGAAAATTGGCATAAATAATGAAGACTCTACTTTAAAAAGAAGACAGTACATAACATTAAACTCCAATAGGCAAATTTGTATGCTTCCAAATATTACAACATATTGGAATAACATAGTACCCATAAAAAGCTCAAGGACTGACTATAGAACTCCCTAAATAATTATACATTCTACATAATCTTTCCTAACCTTCCTAGAGAAAGGAATTATACTTATACCACTTTTCCTATGAGCTTTACATACAATCTGATTGAACGTTGAATAAATAATACATAATTCCATGAAAACAGTAACTAAAGCTACCTAACATCTTTTTTGAAACATCAATCAGCATAAGTGTCACGTGGGGAACAAAGTCTATTATTAATCCAGGCGATTCCCGGGAGGAACACACGAACAGAAACCGGTGAATCAGGAAACAATGATGAACACGCGATGAGATCATTCGATTTCGATCGAGTACTGACTAACGATCAAGTGACACGCATGCTAACTATTCTTGGCATATTTGCAGATGTCGATGTAGCTAGACGACACCAGCCATTATTTATATACGGGCGTAGATATATTCGTACCGGGCTGGTCGGCGAGAAAAATGTTGCAACCACGCGCCAAAGCACGTGGTGGCCCACGTCAGTTCTACAATCGCTTGTGTAAATATATACGCGTCTGCAACTACTGTGAAATGTTCCATCCTTCCGTGCTGAGTTGCCAATAGTTACGTTGATTCGTTTAATCTCAAATGTTGCATAGTCCTCCCGTATCTGGGGTACATGAGACGAATTATGCTCCAAATTTCATTCCTCGAGAGGATGTTGGAATTTACTTAAACATTTAGCATTCTGCTCCAATGTGCACAATGTCCAGTGATTTCAAGCAATAAGTAATTGCTCAGCTTACGGTGACAGGATGTTTCACTTATAATATGTCTTCACCAGATGTCGCGACTGATATACATCCTAATGACATCCTAATACGATGTTCGAATAGTGTGCTCGATGTTAGCTAGTCGATTTAAATGGGATATCGTGACCTGCAATTTTCAGTCGAATGAGTAATGTGAAAACAGAAATTGAAGTAAATCATTGAATTATACAAACGTTTCAAAGGTTGATGACTGAACAGATTAAATACCATACGAATGCGAATGTCTTCTAAACATTCCTCTAGTAAGCTTGAACTTGCATTTGAACAAAAATAACTTACCATTGGATACTTTCTTTCGTTACATTTTTACTTCCCTCATATTTATTCCGGGAATGATCTATTTATGTAACGCATGTTATATAACGACTTAACAATATTTCCAGCGAACATTTCGCGTAACTACGAGGCATTCACCTGGATGAATCCTCGGTTTAAAAGCGTAGAGCATTAAGCATAAGGATATTAGAAATGCATCTCGTATCTATGGTACTAGAGATCTAATATCTTATATTCTTGTATTAATTTTACAGGGTGATCCTGTACCGGAACACGTAGGGCCACCTGTCCCCTGTTGCTGCATTAAGTTGGTGGACGTTCCGGAAATGGAATATTATGCCAAGAAGAACCAAGGTGAAGTGTGCGTCAAAGGCACTAATGTGTTCGTGGGATACTTCAAGGATCCCGAAAGAACTGCACAAGTTATCGACGAATTCGGTTGGCATCATACCGGTGACGTTGGCATGTGGTTACCTGTAAGACAAAGAAATATCATTAAATATATTCTTCTAATATATTTGATATATTTTATTAAATATATTTAATAACTTATCGATACTTTATTTATTAAATATATTTACAAATAATATATTTTCTAATATATTTCATTTACAAGACGCCTACATTAACCTTTCCTTTTTTGAAATATCGGAGATATTAAACAATTCTTAAACTATCTTGTAAAATTTGTAATTATTGGAATTTTATATATACGTTTCTGATTTTTATTTCTAACATTACTGCTAGAAGTAAATGTTTTTCCATAAGCAGAACTGACTATTAACTCTATCATATCGATTGTTACTTCATTAAAAATTAAAAAATACATGTCTAATGAAATAAAAGTCCATATTTAATTTACGCAATTAAAATTAGTATGAAAATTTCTATGAATGCTACTATGAAAGAATTATTCGAGCTTAAGTTTACTTTTCTCCTAATTTAAGTAACATTGTTATAAAAGATATATGTATTTAAAATATCGCATCACTTTTCATTGGAGTCTTTTCTCCAAATAAACTTCTTTTTTTGAACAATATTTGACTTCACTTTGAAATAATTTAATTTAACCAATTTATTCTTCCTTTTCAACAATAAAGTTTCTACTATTGTCACAATATTCTGCTACTTAAATAGATATTTAGTCGATTAATACCAGCTAATGGAATCCATTTTTCTTTTCTTTCTTTTTTTACAGAATGGGACGCTTAAAATAATCGATCGAAGGAAACACACCTTCAAACTTTCGCAAGGAGAATATATAGTACCAGAGAAAATCGAGAATATTTATTTACGCAGTCAATATGTTCATCAAGTATTCCTCCACGGTGAATCCCTCAAGTCTTGCGTCGTAGGAATAGTAATACCAGATGTAGACGTTGTAAAATGTTGGGCAGTGGAGAACGGTGTACCAGGAACGCTAAGCGTATTATGTGCTAATCCGCAAGTCAAACAATTAATCATGGACGACATGCTTTCGTGGGGGAAAGAAGCTGGTCTCAAATCTTTTGAACAGGTAAGAAAAATTAAATCTACCGATAGTTTTACTGCGAAAAGCAATATTTCCTCGTTCACTTTCTCATTTCTTCATTTCTTTCCGTTTACGAGGAAAAATGAAGAAAAAATTTATTAAGGTAAATTAAAATATTTTTACGATGAAGATATTCATAATATTTAAATATAACTATGTGTCCTTTAAAAAAAAAAAAAAAATATTCTATAATTATTGTCTAAAAATTATTTCAATTTTTCTAATGGCAAAGAAAGAATTTACTTATATGATAGTATTTACAAAAAAATAATTATAAGGAGATACATTTTGTGTCTAAATATCTTCTGAAAAGATTCGATAATTTTTAATTTCTTATTGCAGATTAATTTGTTATTTAACTCATTATTGTTACTGATTAATAGATACATTTGAAACTGATAGATAAAAGCTTAACTAAAAAATGAAATAATTTGATTAATGATTAAATATTATAAATTATTAAATAATATTTATTTCTTTGTCTAAATTAAAAATCACATGCAACACTGTTATTTCTGTTGATAAGGTGAAAGATATTTATCTACATCCGGATCCGTTCTCCGTGCAAAATGGCCTCCTCACACCAACATTAAAAATGAAACGACCTCAGTTGAAAGAGTATTTCAAGCCACAGATAGAAGATCTTTATCGACATTTGGCCTGATCAGACTGAACATCAACTATGATTCTGTTTTCATTAGCATCAGGAACAACAACGCGAAGAAGGATCAGGACGCATTTGCGTCGCATTCACAAAGAAATCACTTCCACCATCGAATATCCGTTATCCCGCGATACTTTTATTATGTCCCTTCATAAGTACATAGCGACGCAAAAAAAAAAAAAAAAAGAAAAACAAAAGGAAAACACCGTTTAGGCTATTAAGGTAATCGATAACATTATAATAAAATGGATTATTATTAGGCGCGTCTCGTTTTCTCTTGACTATAATCATCCTTCGATACTTGTCACGTGTATTTACAGTCTTCTTCGTTTCCCTATCCTTGTATTTTGATACAGATTATTACCGCTTTTACGACTCACCTAACGGTACACTATAGATGTATATTTTTATCGATAACAATAACTAATTGAACTCTGAATTACGATTTAGTACAAAGTAAAGTATGTTAAAACTGTATATTATTCGTTTCCGTAAAATGCAATCGAGCACATGCGCGATATGGAAAACAAACTTGAGATTTACATAATAGATTGCAAAAACGGACGACTTGAAAAGTAGTAAAGTGATTCTAAATACTTTGAAACATTTTAATAAATTCTGCTTTTGAACAATGTTCACTGACAACACTGTTGGACAACGGAACTTTTTATAATTACTAATAATATATTACAACTTTTTTCTCACTGTTTGGCGGTATCCCGTCAAATTTAAGCGATTTTTATTGTGTAATAATACGAGATCTACCTTAATTGATAATGAAATTATGATTAAGATTAGTGAACACAAAATACTTAAATTATAATGATATTAAATACTTCAAACAAGTAAAAAGATTAATAAAAGGATATGGTATAACATTCCTTCAATGAATAACTTAAAATCCCCTAACAAACGTCGTATTCAATGATCATAATACCTGAAACTCAGTGAATATTAAATATAGCTTCTGAACCAATATCCCAACCAAAAAGGGTTCCTTTCTACTCTCATCTTTAACTTTTAGATTTAAAGCTATAGTACATGACAATGCAAGCAACAATTATAAGCGTTAATGCTACAACTGCTAAAATAATTCTTTGCTGAAGACTTCTAAAAATCATTCCTGAGAGTAAACGTGAACCACGACCCAGCTCTGCATCTGTTTCTCGTAACTGAAATAAGAAAAAGAAGTATATATTTAATGTCATTAGTGATATTAATACAATAGTAACAAAGGAATCCATTCACAAAGGTGTAGGAACTATTTATTATATGAAGTAAAACAAATGTCTTACTCTTGCTCTTCCTTTCTGAATTGTCTCTCTTTGCTCGTGCAGCTCCTTTAATACTTGAGAACCAATTTCTTCTGTTTCTAATACCATTCGATATCCATTTTGTAAACTTCTTCCTGAGCTATCTATTCGGTCTGAGGTATCTAACAATCGTTTTTTCTGATCCTCAGTGATATTATTCTCCCATGAATCTTCCCTGTTTATTTCAATACTTTCATCCTTTGATTTTTTGGCTGAATGAAATTCTTGTGTTAATCGTTTCAATTCTGCTCTATGACTTTCTACTCGACCGCGTAAGCGATCACGAGCTGTACCATTCACCCCACGAACCTCCAGTTCCATTTGCTCAAGCTATGAATAAAGATACAAATATAATGAGAACTCTTATAAACTTACAAAGTTACTTAATTTTAGTGCAAGAAAGGCATTAAAATAAACGATTTTTTCATTTTATTCGTTTTTACATTTATGAGAAGATAAAACTAGATGAAAAATCAATCCTAACCCCGAAACAAAAGATACAAATTTTTCGAAATTTCTTATAATTTGAAATTTTGATTTCTTAAAATTATGTTAAAGCAAAAGAGAAAACAGATGTTTCATTTTACCAGTTCTTGAGCCTCTTCAATCTGTCTGTCCACATCTTGAATGAATGCTCTTTTCTCACCTGTAAATTACGTCACGTGTATCGATTATTGTTGTTTAATAATGTCACAGAATAGATACTGTTCAGTTCAAAAATAATGATTTATGCTTTGTAATAAAAGAATTAGTATGATTCTGTTTTCCTTGTACTTACTGCCGTTTTGCTTTCTTATTCTACCAATTTTAGCGGTGATGTCAGCTGTCAAAACGGCGTATTGTTGCTCATAGTTGTCAATGAGTGACGCCATCTTAAACGGATTTCCATTGGAGACGAATAAGTAGAAGAGTAAATCTTCACTATATTCAGCAAGTGACTTATATCAGATACGTTCTGAAATCAGTTAAAAGAAAAAGTACCGATAGTTGCATTTTACAGCGATTCTTTAGATGAAAGAAAGATGGAAATATATTAACAATTACATCACAACCAATTGTATATCATATTCACTTTTTTGTTCAGTCTGAATATACAGACAGTCAAATAATTTTATAAATACTTTTCCCTATTATTTTACATTTGAAATATTTTTAACTAATCTAGAAAATTTGTAAATTACACAAATCTTTAAATATCTAATGATAACTTCATTATAGTAATTATGTTTATATGAAATGTTTTAATATTTTAAACAAATCTATTGGAACATGTATGATATAAATTAGAGTGTACCAAGTTTAAAAATATGTTTGATTAAATACAAAGATAATCTCACTTTATCAATAGTACATCAACAACTTTAAGATTTTCGTTTTATCAGGAACAATAAAACACTAATTAATTTTATTTTGATATAGTTTAATGAGACATAATAAACGCAAATAATTTTGTTTAGCATAATAACAACAACAAAAATTAAGATATAAAGCTACACTTATAGAACATTCTATTGAAAAACTTCTAAATATATTATATTTTATTATTATCCAGTACTGTATGGTATAATTATTTTGTTATAATTATTTCATTACAATATACTATTTCTCACTGTTTTAAAATAAAATAAATAAATGATAATTTAGTTAAAGCTTGTACTGCTTAAGGTATTTATATTTGAAATATATATTATTACAAAATTATATATATCAGTAATTTTTAAAACTTCTAATGTAAAAATTTCTCATGTAATTCTAAATATGTTATGTTAATTTATAAAATCTTCATTAGTTGTTAAATTTATTTGACACTTTATTTATGATAACGCCATGTTCCTATATGACACGTCCTCAAAAATGAACGAATATATCTAAATTTTGTGCATGAATTTCGTTGTAGTAAACCATCAGGTATCTTTCAAGTGACTTTTTCACTGGATTGAAGATCATATGAAAATAAAAAGTTACATAACGATAAAATAATACAAAAATATTGGAAAGCGAAATCTTCGGAATGTTGCTACAGAATTGACACGTCATTGGTAATACACCAATCAAAAGAAGAATTTAAAGGGTACTGCCAATCGTTTTAACAGCTTACAGGTTCGACCACGGTCAATCTACTTTCGATTCAACAGTCGAAATGAAGATGGCCGCCGAGGTGAGGTGGCTTTTAATTTTTCATATATTTTGTCTAATTTATGCGGTTGTCGGTAAGATACCTCATCGGAAATTTGAATATAAATACTCATTTAAACCACCGTATCTTGCACAAAAAGATGGAACTGTGCCTTTTTGGGAATACGGAGGAAGTAAGTAAACTTAAAACCTAACCAATTACGCACACTGTAAATTCTGCCGTATGTTATTTTTTCACTGTCGGCTTTTTCATTATTTAAATGATATGTACAATTATTTTGTTTACAAATATTAATTTCAATCGAATTTTATCTTTGTGAATGTTTTCATATATGAAAATAATAATATTTACTTAATAGAACTTAGTATTAGTACAACAGATGTACGTGTTTTTATTTACAATTAAAACTCTAACTTACTTTATTTTAAAATAATGCAATTAATTAACTAAAACAGTTTTTCATAGAAATCCATTAAATTTGATTATTATTTAATAATATTAGAATTTCTGAAAGTTTGTTGTATTCTCAAATTTTTATTTCATTATATTTTATTTTGTACGTTATTTTTTTATTTAATCGTTTATAAAAATGCAATCTTGATTTCAGATGCAATTGCTAGTGAAGAAAATATTAGAGTAGCTCCCTCAATGAAAAGTCAGAAAGGTATGTGAGAAACTGATTTCATTATGTTGTATACTTTTTATAATATTGTTAAATTATAATGAAGATTATATTTAATGTAAATAAAAATACTTTAAATTGTAATATGATGTTTATTGTGTAATATCCAAAACAAGGTGTTTCATGGAATTATGCTCAGCTACAAGTCTGAAACAATAAAAGTTACAAAAAAGTTTTATTAGATAAAATTAAATGGTGTTGTATGGTACTGTATATTTTTGTATGTAATAGCAGATATAGCTATTTAATATCTATAAGAAAGTATTAGGGTAATTAGGTAGAAAATTGATTCATTTAAGAAATATCTTAACTTTATTCCTTTCAATGGTATGTTTGGAATATTTGCTATGTGTATTGCACATGTTGTTTTTGCATTATAATAGATTAATAAGTAATTCGAAAATTGCATTAATTTAGTTAAATAAAAAACATTGCAACAAATTAATAGATATGCGATCGACATGTTTAACGCATTCGCAGCTACGAATTCATTCACAAATAAATTTACGTTATTTACGATTTTTTTTTTCTGCCGACGTAAATTTATATTAGGTATTTCAAATTCTACTTCGTGATGTTGACGTAATTTCTACGAACAATTACTTATATTGTTAAGAGATATGTAGGATCTTAATGTATATACTTATGCTAATATAATATTGAAAATGTAAAATTAAAATATCCTTTAATCTAACCAATAATCAATATAAATGCTCTAATACCTTTTTTTATAGAAAAAAAGATGCATCTATTAAAAGAAGAGGTGATCTTAACATTTTTAAAATGTCTCCATTTCTGGAGTAAACATATGTTTTACGTCATGCACCATTTAACATCCTTTAATATTGCATGAGACATCATATATATCAAATATATATGTAACAAATCATTTTTTCTGTCATTTTATATTATATAAAAATTTTAAATGATATTTAGGTGCTATATGGGTCAAATTGCCTGTGACATTTGATTGGTGGGAAGTTGAATTAATATTTAGAATAACAGGAAGAGGAAAAATTGGAGCAGATGGTTTAGCATTTTGGTACACTGCTACAAAGGGTGCTTATAATGGTACTGTCTTTGGTAGCTCTGACCAGTGGAAAGGTCTTGGAATTTTCTTTGATTCCTTTGATAATGACAATAAACGCAACAACCCCCATATTATGGCAGTCATGAATGATGGCACACAGTTTTTTGATCATTCAGAGTAAATTATATTTCTTATTATATTCTTTCTTTTTCTTTTTGACTAAATAAAATTTGCAATGAATGATACTTTATCTTCACTTTAACACAGTGATGGTGCAACACAGTTATCTGCTGGTTGCTTCAGAGATTTTCGTAATAAGCCATTTGCTACAAAAGCAAAAATTGAATATTATCAGAACATTTTAACAGTAAGTGAATTTATATATTTATATAACCAAAAGGAGGATACTTTGGTGTTTCTGCTGCTACTGGTATCTATTATTGAAAAGATATCACATTAATTTTTCTTTCAATATAACTAACACTTTCTGTAATATTTTATTTAAGGCGGCTTAGCTGATGATCATGATGTTTCGCATTTCTTAACACATTCTCTACATTCTCCTGATCAGTTGGCACTGGATGATCATAAAGTATCTTTGGAAGAACAAAAAAAGCTGAACCAGGAGTATGTGGAATATGAGAAAAAGTTACAACAACAAAAAGTTGAATATCAGAAGTAAAGAACATTATAAACTTTAAAAGCACATTTTAAGTATGACATTTGTCTTTAAAGTTATTTAATTTAATAGAGAGCATCCAAAACAAGCAAATGCAGAATTTGAAGATATGTTTGAAAGTGACAGTCAAAGAGAATTACGACAAATCTTTAGTGGTCTAACTGAAATATTTAACGAGATACGTAATGTTAATACAAAAATGGATGAAATAATAGGAAAACAAGAACGATCTTTAAGTCTAATATCTCAATTTCAACATGGTGGTAAAATCTCATTCTGTTACCAATAATTAAATATAACTCTAAATAGGAAACTTATATTCTATAAAATAAGTAGGTGCGCAATTAGGAGGTCAACCAGGACAGCAAGTACAGTTGATTGATACAATTCGTCGACAAGAAGTCGACTCTTTATTCATGAATCAAAATAATATATTAAATACTGCAAAAGAAATTAAGTCCTATGTAAATGAAGTGTATACTCGTACTGACACCATTCTTAAAAATCAGGCGCGAGCACCAACTGCTCAGGTGTATATTCGTATCTGATTTTATTAATTTTTCTTTTTTGTGTTTCGTTAAAAGTAAATATTGTTTAGGTACAGCCGGTAGGAAATGATTATTATACTCTTATTTTGGAAATGCGAAACGGACTTGACACACTGAAAAGAGATATCGAACAAATAAGCACTAAAGTAAACAGTGGAGGACCAGATTGCCCAACAACGAACTGTCTAACAACAACAATGTTTTTACTTTTTGTAGCAATTCAAATGTTCATTTTATTACTGTATAGCATGTACCGGTAAATATTTATTTTGTTTTATGATATATGATATGTTCCTAATGAACATAAATTGAATGCTATTTTATTTACAGGGACAATAAAGAAGCACAGGCAAAGAAGTTGTACTAATGTTTGTTTTCAATTTTACAGTAAGGGTATAAAAGTAAGGGTATAAAAATAAATTTCTACCTTTACTGACTCAATATTTTTATCACTTGTTAATCGTATTCGTAAAATATGCATTTTTGCCGAACATTTGTATAATAAATACATTCTTCATCTACAATAGACCTAACATGATACGATAAGGAGTAGTCAATGCTCCTGAGGTATGACAAAAAAGAATAATCATTGATTATACTCAGCTTGATATAATTTAATCGTTTTGAATATTTTTCTCAACGCGTGATATTTCTTGTCATTGTCAACCATAGACATAATATATGTGTGTATGTGTGTGTGTGTGTGTGTATACACGCGTGCGCGCACACACATATACATACATACATGCATACATATATGTATAAATAGGATGGGAGAAAGTAGGTACGAAATTGAACTGGATGATGTAATATCTTGTAGATATCCAGAAATTTTGGAACGTGACAAATTTTGTCGTGTTTACATAGATGGTTGTGTATGATACACATATATTTTTATTATCGTTCATTAAAAATATTTCATGTGATGCGCAAAATTTCTTTTTTTTTATCAATTTTATTTATATTATTTTTTTTACATATTGGTTTATTGATCACGTTAAAAAACATGTATAGATATTTATATACGAATTTTGTATGGAAAATTGACATATTGAGTGTTGAAAGCTGAGATAATTTTCTTTTTTTCGATATATCTGATTATTTTTGTCATTACGTAAGATGATGTTTATCGATCTGGTACTACATTCCCTTAGGCAAACGAACAGATATAGGTAAGCTGTATGTTTCTAATGTGACAGATATTTAAAATAAAAAATAAGAAACCGTTGATACGACTCTATCGAATTCGAAGCACGGGTATTTTGTGCCCTATTATGTGCAAAAGTGACGTTGAACAATCACTACATCCTCGAAGCGCTATGGTAAGGACATTTTTGTTAAGCGAATACGTACTTTGTAAACGTATACGGTGTATCGAGTAATAGCGTAGACAGGAGGAACTCGAATTATCCGCAAGCTCGGTATTCTTGTCAACTTTATTGCATTTGTAAAAGTTTATCAAAGATTGTAAATGTATGATGAAATATATCTGATAATAAAATCATTAATCGAAAAAATCCAAGTTTAAACTTAAAACGTTAAAGAAAATTGCACGAGCTGCGACCATTTTGAAATTGAAGGGATACCACAAATAATTATAACAAAATATTGGAAACAATTTAGTCGATCGATAGAACTCTAACAATGCAGAGGATATTAAGAGCATAACGGTTTCATTACATCTGTGGAAATTTTTAAGCGAGTATACATTATAGTATAATGTTATAGTAGATATAGCATTTTTATTTAATTTTTTTAAATATCCATTGTTTTGTTTTATTGAATAACAAATAACATTGTGTTTCTGTTTATTTTATAGGTGTACTATAAATGTTTCCTTCCAAAGGACCGAGATCCTTTTTATTGTTCAAAGTAGAATGTTGCATATATTTTTGTATTTTTAAATAAATGTTCTAGAAACAAAATTTATTTGAAATATTTATTTTATTTTAAAGGTGTAACTTATAAAATATAAAAATTAAAAATGTAACACCTTTATTTAAATATATATTGTATAATTTTGTTAAGTCTAGTAAGACTAATATTAATTTTTAAACATTTAAATGCAAAGTATTTAATATTTCCATATTTTATAATTATTGATCAATAATAGTTTGAATTTTTAGTGTTATGGTATCCATTGAAATTCTATTGATTAACTTTTATTCATATTATGTTTCTATTGGTATTTTATCCATTTTATTTCAAAGCTATTCATGAAATACTAAACAATTTACCAGTTTATGTATAGTAAAATAAATATTTAAATTAATTTTTTACTATTCTTTATTTTTCGAATTTTGTTGTAATTCGTCCACTTCTTAGCATAAATGTGTAATGTAAATGTGTTTGTTGTATATTTATATTAATTACGTATTAGTAAAAATCGAGGATAATCCTGTAAAATGTAGTATGGTTTTGAGATACGAACGCGAGTTAAACAATGAAGTTGTGCGTAGAAAAATGGATTTAATGATTCATTAGAACTACGTAATTTAAGTTATGCGTGAGTCATTCACTAGCCAAATTGATTAATATAATTCCTTGTATTTTTCAAATTTTTAGCTTGAAAACATTTAATTGCTGTTTAATATTCCATATCTGAAATAAATTTCTACCTTTTGTTTTCTGGAGTTAGTTAATTTGACAAGTGAGTAACTCACAAAACTACTTGATTATTAATTTTACTAATTTTATCAATTCATACAACGTTTCAACGACGATCAAGCAATTATATTATTATATTTATCAATCTTGCAACATTTACAGCATAAAACAGTATTTTTTGAAATGAAAATTTCTTTTGAAAGAGAGAAATGTATTAATCATATATGAAAAATCTGATAACAAATTTGATTACATATTTTATTACCTATAACTAAAAATAAATTGAAACAAGGTTGAATTTCGCACGTACTTAATATAAAATTTGGAATTTAGATATACGTCGTTTCTTTATTTTATTTTATTAATCTGTTTTGTTATTTTTATTTTAAGTGGGAGTGAAATGCGTCAGTTCCTGTAATTTTATGACAAAGTAGAATTCTAGAAATCTCAAGAGCAAGGGAACATGAATACTAGACCACGAAAATTGAGATTTATAAGTCCGAATATTCTATCTTTTATTCATTCGTGGATACTCAAACACTTTGTAACAATCAGTGTTAAACGAGGCGAAGAGGAGAAAACGGGTCGTGGTTAAATCTTGCGAATAATTCAATAAAGGTTGGAACGGTGCTTTCGGAAAATGAAAGGAACCGATGTACGTCTGCAATGCGACAAGAGCACTGTACAAGTGCACCAAATCTCTATGTTCGTACGTTCAAAAACAAACATATTTTATCATTCTGTATCTTAACGAATAAAAACACGATTATAAAATTTGGTAGATAACTACATGTACTATTATATGTTACATACGTACGCATATTATTATTATTATTATGATAAGATTATAAAAATTAAAAATTGTTTTACAATTATTGAAAAATTATTATAAAATTAGACAGTTACTAAATAATCGGAGTAACGTCTATATAATGAAGCCTATTATCGAATGAAGCTCAATATAAAACTGATTGCCATTAAGTGTAGATTGTTAGTACCATTTAATAACGTTGTTTTATATCAACTGAGAATATTAAAAATATTTATAGTAAGCAGAATGTAATAACAGTACATGTGTCAGCTGATATTTTATCGATATTATATATGTATTTGTTAATATATATGTATATAGTATTATTTTTCAATTTTTACTGGAACGTAATTTTATATTACTATACATAGACGACCAGAGATTAATGTTTAATAAATTAGTATAATGTTTATAAAGTTTCTAAAATAAAGCTTAGTATATTTAAGGTATAGTAAATTATTATAATGTTTATAAGCTTAAAGTTTCTAAAACAGTGTTTAATAAATAATGATAATTATGACACGTGTTTTATACACTTTTGTACACATGTTTTACGTAATACTTAAATTAAATTTCAATTTATATGTGTAACACAATTGTCGATAAGAATATTTGTTTAACACCTGCACAGTCTTAATCTCCAGACACTCTGCATATATTGTCCGTGGATATTGTATGTGCACTTTTATACAGGGTGTCTCAAAAACTCTGTTCAATTTTGACGACGTTCGACGTCAAAATTCGAATTTATTTTATAAAGAAAGGAATATATTCCATCAAATTTCTGTATGAAACATTGTACTTTATTCAAAAATTGGGTAAAATTAAATAATCCAATTTTCCAATATTTTACTACGTTTTGCAAATATTTTATTTTAAACTTGAAATCCAACGGAGACTATGAACCAAAATTTATGTTATTCGAAAATCTACGTGCAAAATAAACTTTACATTGTTTACGAAAGATGATTTTTGCAACAAAAATAATTGAAAAAAATTATATTGAAATGGTGGAATGGGAATTCAAATTGAGGATGTTCCTGGAAAAAGGAAGAATGGCAAAGTGAGTAAATCGAGTAAATTGTGTCAGAAATTTTAATTCTAATGGAGAAGCTATAAAACAAAGGTCCAAATTTATGTTAATTGTCGAAATATTAAGTTTTAATTTTAGGTGAATATTTTTAGACATCTTGTAATTCATCGAAGATAAAATTTATGCTATTGAAAATGAACTGGCAATATGTTAAATTATTCCATAAGTAGTATGCTCATTTTCAGTATTTATATTGTGATGTATTTTCCTCAATATTTTACAATTATTTGATATATTATTAAATTATTTAATAAATATAAAATTATTATTGTGACAAATGTCATTATTTTAAATTCAATTCTCCTGAAAATAGCATTACTTGTGTTATTAAATAGCATAATCTATTGTAATATGCAAAATAGCATACTCTTTACTACAAAAAATTACCATAAAAATACTAATACTAATGGAAGTTCATACAGGAAAAGAATCAATGATGTGTTACCTTTTTAACATCATATTTTGGCTTTAAAAATATGAATGAACTGTAAGAAATAACTATCAAATTGTCGAAATGTATGATAAATCAAAATCATAAAAAAACGAACCAATTGTATGTTGTTTTTATAGAAAATAGATCAAAACTTTATAAAGTAGTCTTTATAAAATCTTTACAGAAAATAAAACAAATATATACTGCCTTCTAAGGACTACTTCGATTACAAAAAGAGCATTCAAAATGGTTATTGAGATATCGAAATATAAACCAAAGCCTATGCTGTTCAAACTTCCACTCAAAAAGAAAATCAAGTGTACGTGTTTTCCAAAGAGTGCTTTAGTCATAAAAAGAAGTCATCAAGATGTCGAAATATAGTCTAATACCTCCCACTTTTTAAATTTCGAAATATTCAGATAGTAAATCAACGGTATATTGTCTCTGAAGCTTAATTCTGACTACAAAAAATTAAAAAGAAAAAGAAAAAAATAGGGAAGAGTTGTGAAAGTGTCGAAATATGATTCCAAATTCCATATTACTTAACTTTCAAAAAATTCAGAAAGTAAATCAACCTAACCTAACCTAACCTAACCTAATCAACCATACATTGTTTTCCAAAAGTTATTTTAATTACCAAAAAATTTGTAAAATAGTCTTCGAGATGTCGAAATATAGACCAAAAACCCACGCAAATCAATCATATATCCACTCCCAAGAATTATTTTTATCCCAGAAAAATAAAAAATCGTCATCGAGGTATCAAAGTCCAAAATGAAATCCATGCTATTCAAAACGAATGAATAATCCTAATTCTTTTTAACCATTCGACTACAAAAATAAGAGTATCTTCCTAAAAGTATTTCGATTCCAAAATACCCCCTCCCCCTCAAAAATAGGGAAGAGTTGTGAAGGTATCGAAATACATAATTTTCAAAAAATTCAGAAACTAAATCAACCATACACTATCTCCCAAGAATTA